TGATGCAGCACCAGAAGCTTTCCCACTGCTCTGCCTCGGGAAAAGGCCCTGGGAGGTGGGAAAGGCTAAAGGGAGGTGGGAAAAGCTAAAGGGAGGTGGGAAAATTAGGGAGTTCTTCACTTAGGATTGTCCTTCGTGGTGCTGGGCATGATTCCTGGGAATGTCTTGGATTTTCAAAGAGAGAAAGCTCTGGGGAGACCTTATTACAACCTTGAAGTGCCCAAAGGGACTCCAGGAGAGCTGGAGAGGGACTGGGGACAAGGCATGGAGGGACAGGACACAGGGAATGGCTTCCCACTGGGAAGGATTAGATGGGATATTGGGAAGGAATTCCTGGCTAGGAGGGTGGGGAGGGACTGGCACAGGTTGCCCAAAGCTGCCCTTGGATCCCTGGAAGTGTCCAAGGCCAGGTTGGAGCAACCTGTGCTGGTGGAAGATGTCCCTTCCCATGGCCAGGTTGGAATGGGATGATCCTGAGGGTCTTTTCCAACCCAAACATGACCCCGTGAGTGAGTTTAAGGAACTCAAACAGAAGCAGAGGAAGGCTGGGCTGGGTGCAGGGATTAAACAGATCCAAGCAGGTCTTTTTTTTTTTCCCCCTCATTCCTGTTCTTTTGCACAGCTTCCAGCCCTGCCCTGGCTCTGGCAGGGATTGCAGATGCTCTGGAGTTCCTGGCCTTCACATGGATCACTGGGAAGGGCAGGTCTGGCAGGGTTTGTTTGCAAGGGACATTTGGCATAAACAACCATCAGTGGGGTGGGAGGAGAGGAGAGTGGAGGTGTCCAAAGGCAGAGCAGGCAGGGGATGGATCCAGAGCCTCACTTGGGAGAATTTGGTGGAGCCAAACACCTCTGAAGTGGCTGTTTGGAGCTTTATGGTGTGTTTTTCTCTGGTCCTGCTGGAGTTCTGGAGGTGCTGAGTGCACAGGGCTGACAGTGGTGCACCCTGAGCTCCATCTCCTCTGTGCAGCATTTCTGCTGCCACCTCTCCCACTGCCCCAAAGGACACTCCTCTGGGGGTGTTTGTGCCTCTGGGATGGTTGCCAGGCTGTAATTCCAGGTCTGATACTCAAGGTCTGGCTCCAAACTGCTCTGATGGGGATGGTACCAATCCTAAGGCCCAGCTGTGCAGTGCTCTGTTGTTTCTCTTGCTTTTTGAGCTGCAATCCCATTTCTTTGGGAAAGCAGAGGATGCATTTTGTGTCCAAGGCTGGTTGGGCTGGGTTTGGAGCAAGCTGGCATAGTGGAAGGTGTCCCTGCCCATGGCAGGGGGTGGAACTGGCTGGATTTTAAGCTCCCTTCCAACCCTGTATTTTTGGGAGCACGATTTCCAGGGAAAGCAGCTCCAGCAAAGCTGTGCCACAAAAATTGTCTCAAGCTCTATTTTCTGCCTTTCCCACATTTCCACTCCATGATTAAGTCCTCTCTTCTCCTCCTCTCCTTCCCTTTGCTGCCTGCAGAGCACCTGGAGCTGTTCCAGGTCTGGTTTGGAGTTTTATCCAGGAACCCTGAGCCATTCCAGGGTGCTGGGTCAACACTGTGGAAGTTCCACTTCCACACACATAAGCTCCTTGTCAGTGATAAAGGATAATGGCAACTACAAGGCCATGGGGGATTAAACCACCTAAGTAAACATCCTTTTGCCTGTGGGCCTTATCATACCTGGCTCTTTGCTGTGGCTTAATGACACCCTTAATTAGGGTGAGAGGGATCTCCCTGGGCTTTGCTTGTCAACAGGTCATTTGAGCTGTTTGATTCTGCAGTGCAGGGAGAGCAGGACGCCCCCAAATCCACTCCTCTCACTGAAAATGGCCTTCAGCTGAGCTGCTCACCTGCCTCTTTTCGGTTCCAAGGAGATTGTGACCTTTTCCAGCCAACCACAGAGGGTTATGGTTGTTTTTAGTGGGTCAGGAGTGAACTTCCTAAGGGGGGGCGCTGAGCTTCCAGTGGGGGGCTGGGGAGGAAAGAAAAGCAGCTGGGTCAGATGAGGGTTGTGCAAAGCTCCTGCCTCCCCTGTTTCTGCAAGAAAAAAAAAAAAAGAGCAGAACACTTCCTTCCCTGCTGCAGAACTTCCTGTTTTTTCCTGGTTTTCTCTTTAAAGACACAAAATCTTTGGGGGGGGGGGGAAATGGGTTCCCCCAGGGCTGAAAAATCAACTCTGCATCTTCAGCTCTTCCTGAAGAGAGTGCTGGATGCCTGTTGGACCCTTTGGAAGCTCCTGGCTGCTCAGTTATCCTAAATTTGCTGAGATTTTCAGCTGCTCAGTGCTTTGAAAACCTTGCACGGTGTCTCCTCGAGGTCCTGCCTTGCAGATGGCTGATTTTTATGGGTGATGACTAAAATCAGCAACATCCAGCCAGGCTGTCCCACCCCTCACCGTGCAGGATGTCCCTGGAGCAGAACCCCACAGAAGCTGGGAAGGGTTGTGGTGACACCTCCTCCATGTGTGGTTTTTGCCTCCTCAGGGAACTTCCCGAGCTGGAGTCGATCCCATTCTTTTTATTGCTTTTTAATTGAAGTTTTTTTTTTTCCCCTCTGTGGACTCATCCAGCTGGTTTTGATGGATGTAGAGTGTCCCCTCAGGAATAACAGTGAGTCCTGGGGCTTAGTGAGTAGTGATGAGGTCAGATGTCCTGCTGTCCATCCTGGGATGTCCCCGTTGCTTGAGGACGGTGCTGTGCCCCTGATGTTTGTTGTGTATCTTCAAGACCAAAAACCCCAGGGCCTCGTGCTCAAGTGTGTCCATTTTCCTGTGTGTTTAAACCCTTCCTACCTAATTTCATTGTTGTCCTGCTCAGCAATTTTCCACAGGAAGGAAAATGTTCAGTCAGACCCTGCCTGGTTCTTCCTCGCTGCCTCCTGTGGTAAATCCCAATCCGAGTCCTTCTTCTCTCCCCCCTTTTTGTGCTGCCAAATGGGAGCAGAAAAGGTTGGGAATGAGAGGTTTACTGTCTTTCTGCCCTGTTAATTCCCAATTACCTCCTGACTCAGCCACTGTGTGAGTGTCTCTGCTGCTGAGGTGGCTCCAGCACGTTGGACACCAACGACCCTCTGAGGCTCCGGAGGATCCGGACGGGAGAATTTTGCTCCCAGAGTTTGCTCCGGGGGTTGAACAAAGCGTGGGATTGTTTTTCCACATGGCAGGACAGCCTTTGTGCCAGGCTGAATGCAGACTCAGCTGGAGGGTGACACGTGAGGGGGGGGGAGGTGAGGGTTGGGAGCTCTGTTAGGATGCAGGAGGATGTTTGGAAACGGGAGAAAAGCAGCGAAATTTGGGACAGAAAGGGGAGCAAAGTCCCGGTGTTGTCCACCAGAGTTTGCCCTCGTGGCCTGAGGAGCTCCTGGGTTTGTGGGGCTGTTAATGAAATGTGGAGATCACAGCCTGGTGTGATGGTGCATCAGGCTGGGCTGGGGAACAGGGCCAGGGGAAAAAATAACCCGGGAAGAAAGGTTTGATCCAGCTCAGACAAATCTCTCCTCTGCCCTCACACCCCTTAAGCCCAGCCCTGAGTGCTAATCTGTATTTCCCTGGCTATAAACCCCTGCTTTGGATCAGATTAATCCTGATTATCCAGATGCTGAGCTGACCAAGGGCAGGAAATGGATAATTAGGTCTGTGATGAGAGAGAGTGAAAAGCAAAAGGAGAGGAAGAGTTTCATTGCCCTGACAGAGAAGTGGTTTTAGTGCCTCTTGGCTTCTGTCTGGAATGCTTTTATTTACTTTTAAACCAGAACTTGTGGCTGTCCCATCCCTGGAAGTGTCCAAGGCCAGGCTGGACAACCTTGGGGCAACCTGGGCTAGTGGAAGGTGTCCCTGCCCATGGAATGTGTGATCTTCAGGCACCTTCCAACCCAAACCAGTCTGGAATTTTACACTCCCTACCTGTGTGGGGATGATTTCCTCACGAGGTGCAGGCTGCAGGAGGAGGGAACCTCTGCAGTTGGAAGGCAGCAGTGACTTGGATGCTCCTCCAAGGGCAGGGAAAGCAAAACTTGGCCTGTTTGAGGACTGTGTGTGACAATGTGCCACCCTGGCCTCATTCCCAAAATCCAGCACTGTGCTGGGCTTTGCCCATGCACCTGGTGGTGGGGCCTGATCATCTTCCCTTCAGCACAGAGGGGGATTCCCAGGAGGAAGATGGAAGATGAGTAGTCCTTCTGTGCACGTCCAGTTTGGTTCCTTATTTTCCTCCTCGTGTTTGGCTGGCCTTGTGTTTCCATGACAAAACTTAGGGAATCTCTGGGCCTTTCCACACATTTTCCTGCTGGAACAGCTGCCTCAGAGCTACAAAATCCAAAGGGTGTCTGTGGAGAGCTGACAGTGAGGCTCAGCATTCCGCCAGAACATCCCTTTGCTTGGTTTTCCGTCTGTTCCATCCAGTGGATGTGGGGCCCCTCATGACCTCTGGGTGCTCTTGGATGGTCCCAGTTGTTTCCTTTGCCCCCTGGATGAGAAGTGGTGGCTTTGATCACCAGGTGACAGAATTCCAGCCTTCTTTACCTGACTGAGCTGGAATAAGCGTGCAAATAGATCGGATATTTGGAAAAATTCTTTACTGGGAAGGTGGGGATGTTCTGGTACAGATTTCCCAGAGAAGCTGTGGCTGCCCCTGGATCTCTGGGAGTGTCCAAGGCCAGGTTGGAACAACCTGGGCTAGTGGAAGGTGTCCCTGCCCATGGCAGGGGTTGGAACCGAATCATCCTTAAGGTCCCTTCCATCCCAAACCACTGTTGTATTTTTATCACCTTTGGTGTCACCAGCTGGTTCTGCCCCAGGTTTCTTCACCAGCTGAGCTTTTCCCAGGGCAGGGGTGACACACTCTCAGCTGGCTGTGGCCACATCCTCTGATGCATTTCCCTTGGGAGCTGAGGCTGGGAAGGAGGAAGCTGCCTGGCTTTGCTCACGTGGCTGTGCCGCCAACTTCCACTTTGAGCAACTTTCCTTGGTGACGCGGCGGCCGTGACACAGAGGCAGCAGAGCAGTGCCCTGCTGGGAAAGGAGCAGCTCCAGAGCTCTGCCCCTCTGCAGAGCTGCGTGTTTGGGATGGCTGGCACGGCCCTGCAGCGCTGGAAGACTCCTTGTCACCCCAAAATGTGCAGGTTGAGGCACCCGGGCAGGAGGCCGGTGAGAGAGGTGGGAAGAGATGCTCTGCTTCATCCTCTGCTGCCTTGTGCTTCGGGGGTTGTCTGCTGGGAGGATGGATCTGGCACTAAGGCAGGATTAACACAAGGAATTCAGGGCTTCACCTGACGTGTGGAAGGGGATCTGGGGCCCTCTGGAGAAGATCTGTAATTTTGGGCAGCAGGAAGATGGGCTGTGGTTTCTTGTCTCCTGTGACAGCAGCTTGTGTTGAGCTGTTGGGTTTCTGCTTCCTCTTCCCAAGGTTTTTGGGGACAGCCACGACCTCTGTGTGTGCTCTCAAGGGCAGGAGGGGCTGGTGGTTTGCCAGGAGCTCCTGAGGCCTGAGAGCAGATAAGATCACGGAGCTGTTCAGGTTGGGAGAGACCCCAGAGATCAGCAGGTGCCATCGACGCTCCTCGTGCCAGGGCGTTGATTGTGCCTTCCGTGTCGTTCCAGGACATGTGCACAGCAGAAGCAACGGCCTCTCTGCTCCAGCTGGAGGAGACCTTCTCAGCATGCCTGGCACGGATCGATGCCCTGGTCCTGAAGCCTCTGCTCCAGGCAGGTAGGTCACAGGGTCTGGCTGAAGTTCTCCCCTTGAGTTGCTGAAGGGACTGGCAGTGGGAACTCCGTGTTTTCTTGCAGTCAGTGGTTTGTGGAGATGTTTGATTTAGGGTGGTGAGGGTTTTAGGGATGTCCATGGCCTGCCAGTCAAGCCCAGGGCTGTGGTTCTCTGGTTTTTTGGGGTTGTTCCTCATTTTAACCAGGATCAGCTGCACACCCACTCCAGGGCTGGTCCGTGACTCCAAAATGCATCTCACACAAGCCTGACCCCAAAACTGTTGCCATTGTCCCTCCCTGCTCTGGTTCTGTGGTCGTGCCCATCTCTGGAGGTAAAACTTGTGGGTGCAGGTTCCCAGCTGGCAGGGAATCAGAGCAGCTCCACCGACAAAACTGATCCATATAAATATTCAGGAGCCCTTCTGGCCAAAAGTGGTGGGACTGGATTGGGCTCAGGGGGTGGTTCCCTCTCACGTCACTGCCTTTTTGGCCTCCAAGGAAACTTGGGAATGGTTCTTTGGGAATGGTTCTTTGGGCCAGGCAGGGGCAGGAAATATCCCCCTTGTGCTCGTGTCTGAGCAGCACAGAATTCATGGAATGGTTTGGGGTGGAAGGGACCTTAAAGATCATCTCATTCCAACCTGGCCACTGGCAGGGACACCTTCCACTATCCCAGGGTGCTCCAACCTGGCCTTGGACACTTCCAGGGATCCAGGGGCAGCCACAGCTTCTCTGGGAATTCCATTCCAGTCCCTCCCCACCCTCCCAGCCAGGAATTCCTTCCCAATATCCCAACTTTCCCTGTCCTCTGGCACTGGGAAGCCATTCCCTGTGTCCTGTCCCTCCATGCCTTGTCCCCCGTCCCTCTCCAGCCCTCCAGGAGCCCCTTTAGGCCCTGCAAGGGGCTCTCAGGTCTCCCTGGAGCCTTCTCTTCTCCAGGTGAAACCCCCCCAGCTGTCCCAGCCTGGCTCCAGAGCAGAGGGGCCACATCCCTCCAATCACCCCTGGATTACTCCATTTATCCTTTGGATAATAAGTTGGATCAATCCTATAGCCTCACTCCCAGCACATAAATGTGCTCCACACTGAAAAATTAGACTGAGTTTTTGCTACAGGCAGAGCATTCCACAAGTCGAGGCTTCCTCACTGTATTTCCCCCTCACCCCTCCATTTTCCTCCAAGAGCCAAATGACCAGAAGGGGAAGGAGAACTTCAAGCTCTTCCTGCTCCTCAACGATCGCTTCCAAGCCCTCTGGAACCTCACAGAGGAAAACTACCGGCTGGTGAAGCAGAAACACGGCAGCTGCCAGTGCTCCTGCATCAGGGACATCTACACCATCTGGAAAGGGGACCTGTTCCTGAGCAGCTACATCCAGTAAGTGCAGGCAGCTTTTGGAGTGGTGCCAGGGAGCAGATCTGGCAGAGCTGAGCTCAGGAGAGCAGAGGCTGAGCCATCAGCAGGGATGTCGGGCACGGGCGGCTTTAAAGCCCTCGGGGGGCTGAGGGGAGCAAAGTATCACACACAGCTGGTGTTGGGGTTTGGTACTTGGGTTTTGAAGCTCTTGGTGAGGGAAGTGATGGGAAGTGACGGATGGGATGGGAACAAAACGCTGCCCAGCGCTGTTCCTGTAATGAATCCCTTCTGCTGCCCACCTGCCCACGGAATGTTTGCAGAAAGCCCGTGGCCGGGTGCTGATGTCCCGCCACGAGAGACGGTTTGTGGACATCTGAGGTGGCACCAAGGCCAGAAAAGGTTCAATCCCACGTCCATCGTGTTGGCCAAGCCTTTGCCAGCTGGGCTGGAGCCACCTGTGCACTTTGGCAGGGGGAGGTGGGCACGCTGGATCCTGGAATGCTGTTCATCCAGCCTCGCCTCTGATGGATTTTTTGGTGTATGGAAAGGAGGAAGGACTACTCTTGTATTATTTTCCCTTGGAAATAATTTTAGGAAGCGCTGCACCAGCTTGGCCTGGGTGGGAGTGGGGTTTGGAGCAGCTTGGGTTTCCATCTGGGAGCTGACTGGGGAATTAAAGCTGCTTTGCCCCAGGCACGGGAGATGAAAACTTAGGCTGAGGTTTGGGGTGAGGCATAAAGGAGTGGTTTTATCTTAAGATCTTATTTCCCTCCTTTGAAATTAAAAGCTGGGTTTGTTGGGTGTTAAAAGGAAAAAAGAGGTGGTTCCTCCCCAGCTCTGCTGACTCACCTGGAACGGGAGAGGAGGAGGGAAAGGGGCCTGAAAATCAGCGGGAAGTGCGTGTCCCTGGAAAAGGTGCTAAATGATCATTAGTGTAGACGTTCTGCACCACTTCACTGAAAACACCGCTGGAGGAAAACGTGGTGTTTGCTTGGAAAATGTGGCTTGAACTCCCTCTAGTGTGAGACGGGAAACATCGGCCAGGGAGGCCTTGGTGGGAATTTGCCATCGGTGGGAGAGATCTGATACTTCCATAGGATCATGGAATAGGTTGGGTTGGAAGGGATCTTAAGGATCATTCAGTGCCACCCCCTGCCACGGGCAGGGACACCTTCCACTGTCCCAGGTTGCTCCAGCCTGGCCTTGGACACTTCCAGGGATCCAGGGGCAGCCACAGCTTCTCTGGGAAATCCATTCCATCTCTCCCCACCCTCCCAGCCAGGAATTCCTTCCCAATATCCCAACTTTCCCTGTCCTCTGGCACTGGGAAGCCATTCCCTGTGTCCTGTCCCTCCATGCCTTGTCCCCCGTCCCTCTCCAGCCCTCCAGGAGCCCCTTTAGGCCCTGCAAGGGGCTCTCAGGTCTCCCTGGAGCCTTCTCTTCTCCAGGTGAAACCCCCCCAGCTGTCCCAGCCTGGCTCCAGAGCAGAGGGGCCACATCCCTCCAATCACCCCTGGATTACTCCATTTATCCTTTGGATAATAAGTTGGATCAATCCTATAGCCTCACTCCCAGCACATAAATGTGCTCCACACTGAAAAATTAGACTGAGTTTTTGCTACAGGCAGAGCATTCCACAAGTCGAGGCTTCCTCACTGTATTTCCCCCTCACCCCTCCATTTTCCTCCAAGAGCCAAATGACCAGAAGGGGAAGGAGAACTTCAAGCTCTTCCTGCTCCTCAACGATCGCTTCCAAGCCCTCTGGAACCTCACAGAGGAAAACTACCGGCTGGTGAAGCAGAAACACGGCAGCTGTGAGTGCTCCTGCATCAGGGACATCTACACCATCTGGAAAGGGGACCTGTTCCTGAGCAGCTACATCCAGTAAGTGCAGGCAGCTTTTGGAGTGGTGCCAGGGAGCAGATCTGGCAGAGCTGAGCTCAGGAGAGCAGAGGCTGAGCCGTCAGCAGGGACGTCGGGCACGGGCGGCTTTAAAGCCCTCGGGGGGCTGAGGGGAGCAAAGTATCACACACAGCTGGTGTTGGGGTTTGGTACTTGGGTTTTGAAGCTCTTGGTGAGGGAAGTGATGGGAAGTGACGGATGGGATGGGAACAAAACGCTGCCCAGCGCTGTTCCTGTAATGAATCCCTTCTGCTGCCCACCTGCCCACGGAATGTTTGCAGAAAGCTCCGTGGCCGGTGCTGATGTCCCGCCACGAGAGACGGTTTGTGGACATCTGAGGTGGCACCAAGGCCAGAAAAGGTTCAATCCCACGTCCATCGTGTTGGCCAAGCCTTTGCCAGCTGGGCTGGAGCCACCTGTGCACTTTGGCAGGGGGAGGTGGGCACGCTGGATCCTGGAATGCTGTTCATCCAGCCTCGCCTCTGATGGATTTTTGGTGTATGGAAAGGAGGAAGGACTACTCTTGTATTATTTTCCCTTGGAAATAATTTTAGGAAGCGCTGCACCAGCTTGGCCTGGGTGGGAGTGGGGTTTGGAGCAGCTTGGGTTTCCATCTGGGAGCTGACTGGGGGAATTAAAGCTGCTTTGCCCCAGGCACGTGGGAGATGAAAACTTAGGCTGAGGTTTGGGGTGAGGCATAAAGGAGTGGTTTTATCTTAAGATCTTATTTCCCCTCCTTTTGAAATTAAAAGCTGGGTTTGTTGGGTGTTAAAAGGAAAAAAGAGGTGGTTCCTCCCCAGCTCTGCTGACTCACCCTGTGCACTCCTCATCTTCCTTGGAACGGGAGAGGAGGAGGGAAAGGGGCCTGAAAATCAGCGGGAAGTGCGTGTCCCTGGAAAAGGTGCTAAATGATCATTAGTGTAGACGTTCTGCACCACTTCACTGAAAACACCGCTGGAGGAAAACGTGGTGTTTGCTTGGAAAATGTGGCTTGAACTCCCTCTAGTGTGAGACGGGAAACATCGGCCAGGGAGGCCTTGGTGGGAATTTGCCATCGGTGGGAGAGATCTGATACTTCCATAGGATCATGGAATAGGTTGGGTTGGAAGGGATCTTAAGGATCATCCAGTCCCACCCCATGCCACGGGCAGGGACGCCTTCCACTGTCCCTGGTTGCTCCAGCCTGGCCTTGGACACTTCCAGGGATCCAGGGACAGCCACAGCTTCTCTGGGAAATCCATTCCATCTCTCCCCACCCTCCCAGCCAGGAATTCCTTCCCAATATCCCATCTAACCCTGGTCTTTTTCCCTTTGAAGCCATTATTTTAAGCTCAGATTTTGCAAATTTGCTCTCCAGGACAGTTGCACAAGTTTCCTTCTGCTTGTGCCAAATCCCGGGATAATTTAAACTTCCTGTGAGGATCCGAGTGCAACAAGGCAGATAAACCAAGGAGCTGGGAAAGGGGGCACAGGGAGTGAGCCCAGGTGACAGGTGCAGTAGCTCCACCTCTCCCCCAGCCTCCCTTGGCAAGGTGGACGTGACATGGCATTTTCCAATGGGCTTCTTCCCTCCATCCCAAAACCCCCGAGGTTGGAAAAGACCTCCAGGATCGAGGCCAAGCTTTGACTGAACACCTGATCAACCAAACCATAAACCAGCCCCACTCTGAGCTGTTAGACTTGTCCTCTTCCCTCTTTGTGGGGGTGAAGGAGCATCCCAGCAGGTTCATTTCATTGAACCTCCTCACCAGTGCCCACCTCTAACTCAGCTCGTGTGTCCTGGCTGGTTTTCCTTCTTGCCCAACAGGTATTTTGTCACCTTTGCAAACTATGTCGTGGTCCAAGGCTTCGAACACCTCACCAAGAGCAAAAGGTCAGTGGGCTGTGGAATCCCCATGTGGTTTGGGTTGGAAGGGACCTGAAAAGTCATCCAGTGCCACCCCCTGCCATGGGCAGGGACATGTCCCCTGTCCCAGGTTGCTCCGAGCCCTGTCCAGCCTGGCCTTGGACGCTCCCAGGGATGGGGCAGCCACAGGATGATGGGTTTGCTCTGCAGAGCTCTCTCCATCTCCTTCCATCCCCACACAACTCCTTCTGCAGGAGTGAAAACCTGTGAATTGGGAATCTGGGGGCTTAGGTGAGGGGTGGGACAGGGTGCTGTGGGAATCTGGCAGGAAATCTCCACTGCTTGTCCCAGAGTCTCGTGGAAAGAGCAAGTGAAAAACAGGAGCACTGGATATGAGCACCTTCACAGCCACCTCATCATCTCCTGTTCTTTCATGTCCTCACCCTCTCTGAGGGGGAGGCAGCACGGGGAGTTTGGGAGGCAGAGGGGTGGCAGTTTGCAGAAAAACTAATTAATGAGCCTTAATTTGCCTTAATTGCCCACCGTGCAGCGAGGCCTGGAAGCTGCACAAGACGGTGCTGAAGCAGTTCCTGACAGACTTCACCTCCGAGACCTCCATGTCCCTGGCTCTGTACACTGTCCTTCACAAACCCCTCCAGGACCACGTCCAGCAGTACCTGCTGCTCCTCACCAAGCTCAAGGAGACCCTCAAAGAGGTAGGAAGCTCGGTGTGATGATGGCTGGCTCATCAACCCTGGGGATGTGCTGGGGAATCCAAAGCAGGATGGAAGGAAGATTTATTTCCAGGGGCCAGCTGGGGTGGAAATAACCAGCAGTGGTGAAGCACAGCCCACCTGAAGGTCTCAAAGCAGCCAGCTTTGAGCCTGGTGTGGGTTACTCATCACGGGGAGAGGCTGCTGAAGGTCAAATGGCTGGCCTGGGGTTGCCCATTTCTGCTGGTGGCTGGATTTAGGGGGCTTTCCTGGAAAAGGGGGTTGGAGGGTTCGTCCTCATGCCTGAATCACGGAGTCATTAAGGTTGGAAAAGACCTCCAAGGTCATCAAGTCCATGCAATGTTTAACCCCCTTCCAGTGAAGAGACACTCCTGATGTCCAACCTGAGATTCCCTTGGCCCAGGGGGTCGGAAGCGTCGCTCGAGCCCTGCCTTCTTTTCCCCAGGGCTCTGAGAAGGACGTGGTCGGCAGTGTCATCGAGGAGTACGTGAAGCTGGAGGCTTTCATCAGCCAGGTCCTGGATGAGGCCTGTTCCACCAAGGCCTTGTGGAAATCCTTGGGCTGCAAGTTCACGGTGAGGCCTTGGGGGGGAGAGCAGGGGAGCCTTATCTGAAGGGCTTACATTTCTGTGGGAGGCAGTTGAGCTTGGGTCAGGAATTTGAGGCTTGAAGCCTACAGAGCAGGGCTGGGTGGAAGTGTTGGAGAAACCTGGGGGGGTTTGAAGTTAATCTCTGAGTCCAGTTCTGCTGTCCCAGCTTCCAGCCCAGCTCAGATGGGCTTTGCAGGAGCCCTTGGCTTGAGCTGCACGTCCTGTCCCAGCTCCTGACGTGCTGGTGCTCCATCCTGACCCCTGTGGTGCTTCCCTGTGTGCAGGACATGCTGTGTGTTCCCGAGAGGAGGCTGCTGGAGGACAGCAAGAACCTTCCCATCTCCACCGGCACCAACCGATCCGACCGGGTCCTGCTCTTCGACGACGTCCTTGTGCTCATCCAGGTGAGTCCTGCAGCCCCCCCAGAGGCACTGCACGGAGAAAGGACAGAGAAATTCGGGTTCCTCTGGTGCTGGAAATGCAGCAGAGCTTGGCTCTCAGGGAAACTTTGCCTCAGGTGCATCCACATGTAGTTTGCACTGGAGAATAAAGGAAAACCTAAAGGAGAAGGAATAGAGGAGCATCCAGAGAACTCCCCTCAGTCAATGTGTCCCACAGGCACCTTTGGAGTGATCCAGGCCCCTTCCTGCAGCTGATTTTGGTCCTTACTTACTAAAAGGGGCCAAAAAGGACCAAAGGGATGTGACACTAAATAGAACCTTCCATGGTTGACTCAGTTGGTGGCACGACAGCAGATGTTGCAGGTGGTTTGGGGGCTGTTTGGGGTATTTTGGGGCCTGGGTGTGGGGCAGGCAGGGAGTGTGTGTGCAGGCCTGGCCAGCAGGATGAATGATGCACGTTCAAAGCTGTTCTGTAGCTCATTAAGCCCAGCTTGGCTTGCTCGGTGACCTGGCAGGGCTCTCTTCATGTTCTCCTCTCTGTAGTCATGTGCCAACCCCTCAGGTGTCCAAACACGCTGCCTTGGGAGCTGCTGCATCTTCCAAAGCCTTCCAAGCTGGAGCCTGTGTGATAACACAGGGTCTAGGCCTGAGGGAGCAGGGTGGTGATTATCTCCTCCAGCTTTCCCTGGTGGATTCCTCAGCCCTGCCCTGATCCTGCTGGCAGCAAGTGCCCCCAGGCTCCCTTTCCATCCAGGGAACATGTGCTGGGTGTGGTTTATCTGACCTATTTGGGGAGCTAAAACGAGGCTGAGCTGAATCATGTCCTCAGCAACCTTGACTAAGAGGAGAGCACGGGGTGACTGCTAAGAGGGATCTTCATCTCTTATGGTCCCGTGGTGGGAGGTGCCTCTGCCCAAATGAAGGTGCAGATGAGACCAGGTGCCCAAACTGGAGTCCCAGTCATGGATAGATCATGGAATGGTTTGGGTTGGAAGGGACCTTAAAGCTCATCTCATTCCAACCCCCTGCCTTGGACAAGGACACCTTCCACTAGCTCAGGTTGCTCCAGCCTGGCCTTGGACACTTGGATGGGGCAGCCACAACTTCTCTGGGAATACTGGGTGTCTGGAATGATTTGGGAATGCTGCCATGTGATGGGGAAGACACTCCTGTAGAGATAAGTGTCACCTAAGAAGGTCTTTTGTAGATGTGACCTGATGGGACACCACTTGTAAGTGTTAAACCAAGAACTTTCTTCCTTCTCCTTCTCCATCCTTCTTTTTTAGCCTCCAAGGTCTTTATCACGGAGTGTCAAGGTCTTTATCATGGTCTTCACCATCATCCATGCCATGGACTGGCAGAGCAAGGGCAAAGTGGGATGTTCCCACCACTAACAGGAACATCTCTCCTCCCTTTTTGTTGCAGGGGAACAGCTTCCAGAGTTTTGATCTGAAGCTCGTGTGGGTGGATGAAAACTGCGGGGAGAAATCAGCTCCAGGAGTGTAAGTGAGGAATTCCCACTTGGAGCTCACAGAAAATAATAAGAAATGTTCAAGCTGGTGGTGAAACTGTGAGGAAATGGCTCAGAACTTGGTGCCATCTCCTTTCCAAGTACTGGGACTGGGCTGTGGGTCATTGGGGCAGCTTTCAGGTGGGGTCACAGCAGCTTGGGCTTTGCTCAGCTTTGCTGACAGGTTGGAATCCCAGGATCAGTGAGGCTGGAAAAGCCCTTCAAGGTCACAGAGTCCCCCTGTGACTGATCCCCACCTTGTTCCCCAGCCCAGAGCACTGAGTGCCACGGCCAGGCCTTCCTGGGACACCTCCAGGGCTGGGGACTCCAAACCTCCCTGGGCAGCCCCTGCCAATGTTTAACAACCCTTTCCAGGGAGAAATTCCTGCTGATGTCCAACCTGCCCTCTCCTCATTATTAATTAATACCAACTAATAACAGGGTGATTTAGGCTCCAGACCTAGACAACACAGTTGTCCAGTTGAGCATCTCTTCAGAAGGCAAAACCAGCTGTCAAAGCTCCATTCTGAAGGGGAAAGGGAAGAGCAGGAACTGCTGTTGGACTGAGGAATGTGTTCCCATGGTCTCTGTCGTGTCTCTTCCCTGCCAGGCACGGGCTGCGTGTCACAACCCCAGAAGAAACCTTCTTCCTCTCTGCCAAAGGCCCGCAGGTGAAGGTCAGTCCTTGGGATTTTTGCCCTCTGTTTATGATTTCCAGCAGAACAATCAGCACAGTGGGGCTTGATTTGAGGGGTTTTTTTGGCCCCTTGGCCCAGCCAGTTGTGTATTAGATGGCTGGAGGTGGCTTGGGTGGGTCACAGAATCTCAGAATGTGCTGGGCTGGGAGGGACCCACAAGGATCATCCAGTCCAGCTCCTGGCCCTGCACAGACCCATCCCCAAGAGTCACCCTGTGTGCCCCAGAGGATCAGCCAAACCCTCCTGCAGCTCTGGCAGCCTTGGGGCCGTGCCCGCTGCCCCGTTGGGGGTGGATGTGTAAATGAAAAAATACCCACATACCCTGGGCGGACAAAACAGCCCCATCAGCTCCCACACCCAGGCCAGCTGGAGACCCAGGCTTAGACACCACGGGACTGCCCCTTCCTGCGCTGATCCGACCTGCAGACCCCGAGACACCCCCCGTGGGTGCTGCAGGCGGGTGATACCCAAAGGGCTGGGTTGGTGGGTGTTGCTGCTGAGGTGAGTGCTGGGAGCCGTGCCCTGTGTGTGGTGTCCCCTGGCGAGCCGTGCCGTGCCGTGCTGTGCCCGCAGGCGGTGTGGCGCTGGAAGCTGCAGCAGGCCGTGCGCCAGGCGCTCCACGGCAAGCGGGACTTCCCTCTGTGGGGCCGGAGCGGCGAGGACGGCGAGGGCGGAGAACCCCCCGCCTGCCGCTTCTTCAGCTACGTCTTCAGGCTGGAGGGCAGGCTCAGGAGCGCGGCCTACGAGGGCGAGTGGCGCTGGGGGAAGCCCCACGGCAAGTAAGGAACATGGTTTTTTTTTACCTCTTTTCCCGTCAGTGATGCCAGCGGGATTTTTCAGACTGTGGGTTTGGATCGGGTGCTCCGCCAGCAGTGAGGCAAAGAGGCAATGGGAAATGGGAAATGGGAAAAGGGCCAAATGACCAAATGTCCTTTGTTGCAGTGTGAGCCAGCTTTTCATAGGTAAAGCACGGACTGTGTGGAATTTGGGAGGATTTCTAGGGAGTTTAGCGTGCCAGGGAATATCTAAACACGGTACGGGAGATGGAAAGCAGGGAAAAGCCATAAATTCTACTAACAGGGCTAGTGAGCTTAGGGTTTGTGATTGCAGATAGGGGCAGGGTCTAACACTATCGAAACCCACACCTTACATGCAAAGCAGGGTATTTCTCTAACAACACTGTTGGTAAATTGAATAAACTTAACACTTTTATAACAGGAAAAGCTGTTTCTGAGGTAGGAAGTCATCTGTGGTTCAGCAGTGTAGCTGTGTTCCAAAACTGCCCTTCCTCAGTTCTCTTCTTCTTCGGAGATTTTTCCCCACCAGGAATGTATTTCTCGTGGGGAGCTTCCAGCATTTTCCTGAAAAAAAACCACTCAAGGCTAGCCCTGCTGTCTCCCTGTAGCCTGGACCCTGTGGATGCACAAGTGGGAGGTGTAGAATCGTGGAATTTGTTGAGGTTGGAAAAGGCCCCCGAGGTCATCAGGTCCGATCTTCACCCAAATCCCACCATGTGTCCACTGAACCACATCATGAAGTGCCACCCCCGCTCATTTTTTTGGAGCACTTCCAGGGGTGGTGACAACGTAATGAGGTTATTGGAGATGCCAAACCAAACCAAACCAAGAAATAACCAGAAAAAAACCCCAATAAAAAGCCTTTGCTTGTGAATAAGAGAAAAGTTTGATCCTGGGCTATCAAAAGTCTGTTTTAACATCTGAACTTTTGTCAAAGGAATTAAAAAAAAAATTAAATGCAAAAGAAGCTCAAATGCATTTAATGGGAACATGAGAGCTGTTGATTAAATCCAAGTTGAAGCTCTGACAATGGTCTGGAAATCAAATGGTCCCAACCAAAATGTCTTTGATTTTAGGATAGAGTGTAGTCCCTGTTTTTTTGGACACAAACCCAGGATGATTTGGAATTTCTGTGCTTCCTGAGTTTTATACTGTTCACAGCTGCTGCTGAAGTAAAAAGGATGTAGAGACATGGTTTGAAAGAGCCTTAAAATCCTGAGAATATTCAGAATCAGAAATGGTTTGGGTTGGAAGGGAACTTAAAGATCCTCAATTTCCAACAAGCTTAATCCCGAATTTTCTGTGGAAGGGGCTGTGCTGTGCCCTGGAACAGCCTTGGATAGGTGTTTGGGGTAGAGTTACACCTGAGGCTGCACCTTCACATCATCCTCCACCTCCCCCAGCAGCTGAACCCCTGACAGAGACCTCAAACCCCCTGTTTGGAGGTGGTGGACAAGCACCTCTTCTTACTCTTTGTCTCCTGAGAGAGATCAGTAAATAGACCAGTTAATTCCTCTGCTGCTGCAGATGAAGTGACTTCACTGAGACGTCCCAAGAAACTCTGTGGCAGAATTCAGTGACTTCAGAGTTTTAAAACCTGGGCTTTGAGTTGCTTAATCACCTGACACTTCCCTTCCCACTCCTGAAGTTTCTGTGCTGTGGGACCTGCTGTTAATGGAGGGTTACGGAGCAGGAACCCTGGCCTGGGTGGCAGGGCCACCTCTGAGGGGGAGGCCGAGCATGTGAGCAGGGCTGGAGGAGTGGGAATTAGGGCTTCCAGCAAAAACATCTGGGATCCCCACTGGTCTGTCCCAGTATTCCAGGTGACCTGGTGTGGGGGAAGGAGATGCTCCCACTGAGAAGCTGCTTCAACCATCCCTGTGACTGGAGCAGAACCATGGAATGTCCTGAGCTGGAAGGGGCCCCCAAAGACCATCCAGTCCAACCCCTGGCCCTGCACAGACACCCCAACAATCCCTCCCTGTCCCTCAGAGCATCGTCCAAACCCTCCTGGAGCTCTGGCAGCCTTGGGGCTGTGCCCACTGCCCTGGGGAGCCTGTTCAGTGCCCACCACCCTCTGGGGGAAGAACCTTTCCCTGAGATCCAACCTGAGCCTGCCCTGGCACAGCTCCAGCCATTCCCTCATCCTCTTTGGCTTCTCCCCTTTACTGGCATTCAAACCAACAAAGCAAAAGGAGTTATGTGTTAAATCCCCTTAATTCTAACCTGACCAGTTCTCTGCAAAACCCCCCAAAAAAGAGCCCTTCTGGTGTGGGTGTTTAAAACAACAACCTCGGTGAAAGTCAAACAAAAGTGTCATGGTTTTGGTGTTGCACCATCTTTGGTTAAACTGAGAGAAGAGTGGGTTTAGATTGGATGTTAGGAAGGAATTCCTGGCTGGGAGGGTGGGCAGGGACTGGCACAGGTTGCCCAGAGAAGCTGTGGCTGCCCCTGGATCCCTGGGAGTGTCCAAGGCCAGGTTGGAGCAGCCTGGGCTGGTGGAAGGTGTCCCTGCCCATGGCAGGGGTGGAATGAGATGAACTTTCAGGTCCCTTCCAACCCAAAGCATTCTGGAATTGTGTTGTGTCTGGCTGGGGAATGTGCAGGGATCTGCCTGTGTGTGGGGTGATGCAAGAGTGAACACGGTGGGTGGGTGGGGTGGAGTGGGAGCCCGGGAGGGAGGGGAGGGCCATGAATTCAGACCTGGCAGTAACTCGCCCATCACGTTGACCCCTCCAGTCTCACTTGGCACTGTTACCTCCTGTGATCACTTCTCCAACCCCCACACAGAAGCAGATGGAAAGATATGATCCCTTCAGGCCAGTGCTTGTCTCCTTTGTTTTCCTGGTGCCCAGGGAAGCTCTGGGCTGTGGTGTCATTATGGTGTCTGTGAGGATGTGCCAGGCTGGAACTTCCAGCTTAATCACACTCCTTAAATCCCATGCTGCAATTAAACCAGGATCATGTGCAAGGTCCTGAAGGGATGACCCAGCACCTCTAGAAAATGCTTTTGAGATTAAGGAACTTGGATTCTTCCCACTTGTTGCAGAGCAGGATGGCATTAAATCCTTATGGTATTAAATCCTTATGGTATGAAATCCTCACAGGGCAAAGTCCCAGATGTTCCTGGAGAACTTGTGTGTCCTCTGAGGAGATATTTGATGTTAGCCTTGGAATCCCAGAATGGTTTGGGTTGGAAAGAACCTTTAGGATCATCCAGTGCCACCCCCTGCCACGGGCGAGGACACCTCCCACCAACCCAGGTTGCTCCAACCTGGCCTTGGACACTTCCAGGGATCCAGGGGCAACCACAGCTTCTCTGGGAAATCCATTCCAGCCCCTCCCCACCCTCCCAGCTGTGTTTGGGCTGTGTGTGGATCCCTCCTGGTGCAGCTGTGGGCGTGGGGTGACCTCCCTGGTGAGAGGATCCTCTGAATTCCAGGGGGACGCTCAAGTGGCGCGACGGACGCAACCACGTCGGGGACTTCAAGGAGGGCTTGGAGCACGGGTAAGCCCTGGGAAAAGGGGGGTTCCTTGCTTTCAAACCATGCTGGGGAATGGTTCCTTCCCCCCAGGGGGACGTCTGGCTCAAGCTGAGGATGCTGTAAAGCTAGAGAGAATGGGGTGGTGGTGACTACAAGGAAGGACAGATGAGCAGTTCAGTGCAGACATTTCTATCCATGTGGACATTCATGTGGATGAACCCTGGTCCCTGATCTCTAGATCTGTGTTAATCCATTCATAGGAAGTGCCTTGAAAAGTTATTTTTAGGTGGCTTTAAAAATTTGAAGTGAGGAGTTTTCAAGGGTGAGAAACCACGCTGGGAAATTCAAGTGTTATTTGTCTAGTTCTGAGGAGGTTTTTTCTTGAAAGTAAGACTTTTAGAGGCCTCACTTTTACAAGAATTCCAGAATAGGTGAGGGTTTTAAGGGGGAAAAAAAAATATCTCAGATACTTCGTGTAAGGAATAAAAAAACATTTAATTCATCCCCTAAAGTGGGGAAGGGTAAAGAGGGGAAAAACAACGCTGAAAGTGAGTCTGTAGAAGGAACAGTGAGTGCAGCTCATGAGCAGATGAGCTTTTCCTTGGATCAAGTCCAAGTGAACTTGGATTTAGTGACACCTGGAAACAGTGTCAGAGGTAGAGTTGACCCCAACCCCATAAATCACATTGGAAACCTGGAAGTCCTTGGCTTTCAAACTTCATCCAGTACAGCTGAGTTGCCTTTTTCCCTGCTGGCCTCTTCCATGGGCCTCTCCTTGTGTCATTGCAGGTTTGGGATCTGCCTTGTCCCCCGCCAGGCTGAGGACAGGTATGACTGTTACAAGTGCCACTGGTACGAGGGCAAGATGAGAGGCTACGGAATCTGTGAGTAAGTGACACCCACAGATGGATCCTGGGGGGAAAAAAGGGGTGTTCCAAAGGGTGGGATGTGCCCATCTCATCCCAGCTGCTGGGAATTTGGATGGAGCCTGCTCTGGGAAGCACTGGTTGTGGGCACAGAGAATCAATCCCACAATGGGTTGGCTTGGAAGGGACTTGAAGGATCATCCCATTCCAACTTGGCCATGGGCAGGGACACCTTCCACTAGTCCCAGGGTGCTCCAACCTGGCCCTGGACACATCCAGGGATCCAGGGGCAGCCACAGCTGCTCTGGGAAATCCATTCCATCCCCTCCCCACCCTCCCAGCCAAGAATTCCTTCCCAATATCCCATCTGTCCCTGCCCTCTGGCAGTGGGAAGCCATTCCCTGTGTCCTGTCCTCTCCATGCCTTGTCCCCAGTCCCTCTCCAGCTCTCCTGGAGCCCCTTTAAGCACTGAAGGTGCTCTGATGTCTCCCTGGAGCCTTCTCTCCTCCAGCACCACCCTCATCTTTGCTGAGGTGGCTTGTGTGGGCTGGGTGGCCTCTCCCAGGACAATTGCAAGCCAACGTGTTGTGTCCTTGGAAGCTGTGGAGTGACTGGTTGGGTGATGAACATTCCTCATAGGGAATGACTATCGGTCAAACATCTGGGATATTTAGCAGGAAGGTGACCCTGATCTGCTCACTCTCCTGGCTTCCTGTTCCAAGAGGAGCTCTCAGATAGTCACAGAGTTAAACCCTGCAGGTATGGGAATGACCTGGTCTACAAAGGTTACTTCAAGGACAACGTGCGCCAGGGCTTTGGGATCCTGGAGAACTTCTCAGCCGAGCATCCCTTCAGATACACAGGACAGTGGGAAAACGACAAGAAGAACGGATATGGAGTCTGGGAGGACAAAGACAGGTGAGGGTGGGGTGGGTCAGAGGTGGCTTTAGTGGGACACGTGGAAGTTGTGCTGCACAGAGCGTTCTGTCAGGTGAAACTGCCCTCGGAAAAGGACACATTAAATTCATTAAGATCTCAGAAAACCTTGGGGGAAAAAAAACCCACAACATAATTTGTTTTGTGTTGCATTCCAGAGGGGAGAGGTACATAGGGACGTGGCTGGATGATCACAGACACGGCCAAGGCATCGTGGTGACCCAGTCAGGGGTCTGCTACCAGAGGACCTTCCACGCTGATAAAATGGTGGTGAGTGCACAGTGTCGGTGGGCTCTGCCAGGCAGGGGGTGTGGAACTCACCAGCAAGGGAAAGATTAATGTTTCACTCCCTAATTAGTCTGTGAGAGCAATTGGAAAGCAAGAAAGGGAGATCTCAGGGAAAGGTTCTTCCCCCAGAGGGTGGTTGGCACTGAACAGGCTCCCCAGGGCAGTGGGCACAGCCCCAAGGCTGCCAGAGCTCCAGGAGGGTTTGGATGATGCTCTGAGGGACAGGAGGGGATTGTTGGGGTGTCTGAGCAGGGCCAGGGGTTGGACTGGATGGTCTTTGAGGGTCCCTTCCAGCTGAGGGTATCCTGTGATTTTGCCATAACAATATTTTTGAAGAACAGGGTCTAGGTTAGGTCCTGATTCTTATCACCCCCCTGAGGTGTGGGGAGGAACAAGACCTGGGACTGTCACTTCTCCTTGCTCATCCTAAGACCCCTTGTAGGTCTGGTTGTTCAGCTGATCACCCAGTCCCAGTTACAGGCCAGGAGTCACCTGTGAAGTGCTGTGTGGTTGTAAATCAGGATGGTTATACTCTCCCTCAGGATGGTTATACATCCCTCAGGGTGGTTCTGTATCCCTCAGGATAGTTATATCTCCCTCAGGATGGTTATACATCCCACAGAATGGTTATACATCCCTCAGGGTGGTTGTATCTCCCTCAGGATAGTTTTATATCCCTCAGGGTGCCCAGAGAGTTGTGGACTCCCCATCCCTGGAAGTGTCCAAGGCCAGGTTGGAGCAACCTGGGCTAGTGGGAGATGTCCCTGCCCATGGCAGGGGTGGAACTGGATATTCCTTGAGGTCCCTTCCAACCCAAACCAGTCTGGGATTCCGTGACACTCCATCTCTCGTGGAGATCATGAAATCTTCCCCTTTCCAGTGTGAGTTTCCCTGTGCCAAGTGTTGATGTCATTGCAAGTCCAGCTGTCGGTGGGGGGAGCAGAAGGAACTGGCATTGCTCAGACTGGCACAGGAATCAAAGCTCTGCTTCTCCCGAAAAACACGAGCTTAAAACAACAAACAACCCCTTCCCCACTCACCAAATCAGGGCAAAATGTTTCACTGTGGAAACCTGGGTGGGGTTCCAGCGAGGAAACCATTCCAGTGGAAAATGCGCTACAGCTCAACAAGTGTCTACATTTTCTGGCTGCTTTGGGTTCTTATAAACCTCAGGGCCTAAACTCAGGAGAAATATCAATTATCCAGTGTCTTCCCTGCATCTTGGTGCTCCTTCCCTAAAAACTGTGCTCCTGAAAGCAGGGTGGGATTGGGGAGGCCGTTTGAGGAATGGTTGGGAGCAGCTCTTTAAAGCCCTGTTGTCAGCACAGCAAAGGGTGAAGTGAATTCCAGGTTTAGGCTGGAATATTAGGAAGAGTTTCTTCCCCCAGAGGGTGGTTGGGCACTGAACAGGCTCCTCAGGGAAGTGGTCATGGACCAAATCCTGCCAGAGCTCCAGGAGGTTTTGGACAACGTTCTCAGGCACAGGGTGGGATTGTTGGGGTGCCCTGGGCAGGGCCAGGAGTTGGACTGGATGATCCTTGGGGGTCCCTTCCAGCTCAGGATATTCCATGATCCTGTCTGCTCTTAATCACTTTTCAAAGGGTGACACACTTGGCTCCAATCACCTCCCAAGTCCTAGGATTGGGAGCAGCACGAGTGTGACCCCTGTGACAATTCCTGGGGACCATTCTAACCACAGGATCCTGCTTTTTCCTCCTTTTGCTGGGAAAACTAATCCAACAGTTGTTCCAAACCTCCTGACTACCCAGGACTTCCCATGGGGTGTCTCCAGAGCATCTCCTGCCTCTTGAGCGTTGAAATCAGACGTTGGGCTTTCAAAAGAGGTCCTGGGAATCTCCAGCCCATAAACAGTCCAAGCCAGTGGTTGTTCCCAGAGGAACTTGAGCAGGTGGGAAGTTCATGGCCTGAATTCATTCCTTCTGCTTCCAAATGAAGGGTCCTGGGATCCTGCTCCTGGAGGACGACTCTGTCTACGAAGGGAACTTCACGGAGGATCTGACCTTTGTTGGGAAGGTGAGAATTCCATCATGCAGGCCTTTCTTGACTCTCACGTGGATTCATCTCCCACAGGTTCTTGATTTCACATCTTTCCATATTTTCCACACTTGCTTGATTCCCACGTGGATTCATCTCCAGAGTTCCCCCACATTTTCATGGGGTTTGGGATTATTTTTGTCCTTCATCAGTGTCAGTAGAGGAGATTCAGCTGAGAGACTTTGGGAGGGCTTTGGGAATGGTTTGGGGGTTTAATGTTTGATTCACATTCAGGGTCTTGAGGTTTGGGGTTTTTTTGGGGGGTGTTTGCTTGGTTGTGTGTTTGGTGGTTTTTGTTTGGTGGATTTTGTTTGGTGGATTTTGTTTGGTGGATTTTGTTTGGTGGATTTTGTTTGGTGGATTTTGTTTGGTGGATTTTGTTTGGGGTTTTTTGGTTTGGTTTTTTTTTTTTGTTTGGGGTTTTTTGCTTTGGGTTTTTTGTGTGTTTGGCTTTTTTTGTGTTTTTTTTTCAGTTTGGCTTTTTGTTTGGGTTTTTGGTTTCTTTTTATTTGTGGGAGGTTTTTGTGGTTTTGCTGGGTTTTTTTGTTTGATTTGGTGTTTTGAGTTTTGTTTTATTTTTTATTTGTTCTTTTATTTTTTTTTGCTTGTTATTTATTTCGTTGGGGTTTTTTTGGTTGTTGGGTTTTTTTGGTTTGTTCTTTATTTGCTTGTATTTTGTGTCAGTTTTTGTGGTTGTTTTTTTTTTGTTTAATTTATGTTTTCCTTTGGGGATTTTTTCATGTGGGTTTTTTGATTTGTTTTTCATTTGGGCTTGTGGTTTTGGGTTTTATTTGTTTTTTTAATTTCTTTTTTGTGTGTGTGTTTTCTTTGGTTCTTTTATTTGGATTTTTTTGCTTTTTTTTTTATTTGGGGTTTTCCTGGTTATTGGAGGTTTTTTTGGTTTTGTTTCTTATTTGCTTGGTTTTTGTGTGGGTTTTTGTGGTTTGGTTTCTTGGGTTTGTTTAATTTTTGTTTCACTTTGTGTTTTTGGTATGTTTTGGTTTTTTTAGGGTTTTTTTTGGTTTTGGTTTTTTTCAGGCTTTTTGCTTGTTTTTCATTTGTGGTTTTAATTTGTGTTTTTGGGGGTTTTTGCTTGTTTTTGTTCAGGTTTTTGTTTGGGTTTTTGTTTGTTTTTTGGTTCTTTCGTTTTTGCTTTCTTGTTTGGTTGGTGTTTTTTTGTTATCTCCTTGTTTTTTGCTTGGTTTTTATGTGGCTTTTTTGGTTTTGTTTAATTTTGTTCTGCTTTGGGGTATTATTTTTATTTTATTGCTGCCGTTGGGTTTTGTTCTTTTTTTATTTGACTTCAGTTTTATTTCCTTGTTTTAGTGGGACATTTTTGACTGTTCTTCACAGCTGCCCTTGGGATGTTTTTGCCACCTTCAAGCAGTGGTTGGGGACACGGGAAATGCAACAATCCCGAGGTGTTACCCCACCAGCTGAGGGATTTGGCAGCTGAATTTTGCAATGTGGGCTCTGCACCCACAACTCCACACTTTGGGGGCGATCTTGAACGGAAATATCGCGTCAAAGTGGGGATAAAATTCCCTGGGGAAGGAAAACTGCTCCTGCAGCTCCTTCCTGAAGGATGGGGTGAGCCTGGCGGGGAGTGTGGGGTTGGGTCACCCTGAGAGGTGTCAAAACAGAGCCTTGGTAATGAATGCAAATGAGCCTCGTGGTTAATGACTCAGCAGGGGAGGAAGAGCTTGTCATCATCTCCTTCACCCACAAGGCTCGGGGCAAGACAGTGCAGACGTTGATTGTAGTGCTCTGGTCCTCCAAAATTAATCAGAGATTAACTCGCTGAGAGCCTCCAAAATTAATCAACCACTTGACTTCAGTGGTTAGTCCAGAGAAATCTGCCCTTTATCCAAAGCTGGGATGTTCCTCCTGTCCTGAGCAAGGAGGATTTCAGGCTCCTCTTCCAAGCCAGACTAGTTAGGGTATTGTTTGGCTGTGGATTTAATGAAATCCTCCGAGTTTGGAGTCAGGCTGCTGCATGTCCTGGGTTTGCCTCAGAGAATTGAAGGTTTGTCTTGGTAGCAGCGAGCTCCGAGTTTTCAAACAAGTTGGAAGGTGTTTATGGGGAAGATCATGTGATTCCCCACACCTGGGAGGCCAAAATCCCCTGTTGTGGTTGGAGGAAAACTGGGAGAAACTGAAGCTTCATCCGCTCGCTCCTGTTTAGTTTAAACCAGAGAACTGAATGAACTCCAAGGAGATTTTGAAGATTTGTAGGGAATAATGCAGAGGTTTTAATCGGGGATTTTGGGGTGTGTTGGCTCCAGTGGCTGCCACTTCCCTGGCATCATTGCTCTGGGTGCTGGAATATCCACCTCCCTGGTGGAAGTTGTTCTGAGCCGCCGTGTCGGGAGCTGGCGCTGCCGAAAAGAGACTTTTGAGCTCTCAGTCCAGCTCGTTTCCTGTCCCTAATGAGCTCTTGGCAGACTAACCCTGGACTCCTCCTCCTCCCCAGGGAAAGCTGTCCTTTGCCAACGGCTTCGTTTTGGAGGGAACCTTCACCACCAAGTCGGGCCAAGGCCTGCAGACCCACGGCATCCTCAACACCTGCCACGAGCAGCTGGACGAGAGGGTCACCAAAACGTGAGCAAAGCCAGCTCCCTGGGCCATGGCCGGGATTTGGACTCCAGGAGGGATCAGGGGTCAATCCCTGCAGGGGTCAAAGTGGCCCTTGCTGGGGTTTGATCTGAAAAGTGGTTTAGAGAAGGAGGAGAGGAGAGCGCGGGTTGTCCTGGTGTTAATGGCACAAAGAAGGGAGAGCAGATGTTCTCCTCCCACCCTGCCACTGCCCTCCATGTGCAGGATCAGAGCTGCTGCTGCTGCTGTTTTGGCAGGGAATGGTGGGAATACAGGGCAGGAATAACTGAGCTGGAGCCATCAGGCCACATCCTTTGGCCACATCCCTCGTGTCGGGGCTGAGCCCTGCCAAGGGGTGCCAAGCTGGAGGAGTTGGATTCAGCCACTTCATCTCACAGGAGGGGCAAAATATCAGCTGCCTGTCCTCAAAAATTCCATTTCCTCTCACAAAACCCAGTTCAGTTTTCTGCTCTTTCCTCTTCCAAACATTTCCAGCCCATCATTCCCGCTGCAGAAACAGCTCCTGTTCTTTCCAGGCAGGAACAGCTGCTGGTGGTGGTTGCTCAGCTCTTGTTGCTCAGCCTCTTCTGAAGGGTTTTTGGGTGAGGTAAATAGTCTGGATTTAGGGACACCCACCAGGGGCCAAGGCAGTTTGTGAGCAGCCAAGATTCAGATTATTCATGTTCCACACACCAGAAATTTTTCTTCGCCCAAAGCACCTCATTGTCAGGACCAGAGGCTTGAGTTGCTTTTATTGAATTCCCAGTTGGGCACTTCCATGTTCCTGTGCTCCTGCAGGACGTCATGGGATGGTTTGGGTTGGAAGGGACCTTAAAGATCATCCAGTGCCACCCCCTGCCATGGGCAGGGACACCTTCCACTAGCCCAGGTTGCTCCAACCTGGCCTTGGACACTTCCAGGGATCCAGGGGCAGCCACAGCTTCTCTGGGAAAGCCATTCCAGTCCCTCCCCATCCTCCCAGCCAACAATTCCTTCCCAATATCCCACCTAAATTTATCCTCTTTCAGTTGAAGCCATTCCCTGTGTGCTGTCCCTCCATGCCTTGTCCCCAGTCCCTCTCCAGCTCTCCTGGAGCCCCTTTAGGCCCTGCCAGGGGCTCTCAGGTCTCCCTGGATCCTTCTCTTCTCCAGGGGAACCCCCCAGCTCTCCCAGCCTGGCTCCAGAGCAGAGGAGCTCCAGCCTTCTGTAAATCCCAACCCTGGAGAACCTCCCATATTTGAAGGGGAGGTCTGGAATAATTAAAAGGGTAACCCAGAAAATCCTGATGCCAAATGTTCCTTTTTCCAGTCAGCTGGGCCTCAGGGAGTTCCCCGTGGAGAAGAGATGGAAGGGAATCTATGACCAGTTCCTGGAATTCCTCCAGTCTGGCTGCAAGGAAGAAATGGAGGAGTCTTTCACAGGGTTCCACATCCAAACCAGCAAGGAGCTGAGGAAATCTCAGGAATATCTCTTCTGCCAAAGGTAGGAGTATTCCAGAGCCTCATTGCCACAGAGGAATCCATTTAAATCGGGCTCTGATTTAATTCATGTTTCAAATTTATGAACTCGAATTGAAATTTATGAACTTAAATGTATGAACTTGAATTTAAATGTATGAACTTAAATTTATGAACTTGAATTTAAATTTATGAACTTAAATTTATGAACTTGAGAATTTTCCAGTTGTTCCTTCTGATGAGGCAGGAGGAGGAGTTTTACTCCTCAATTTAAAGTTGTGCTGTTGAGGTTGATTCTTACAAGTGAAAAATTCATTCCTTCTCTAATTGCCTTAACGCCCCTTTGGAATCTACCTGGGATACCCACCTGGATTTATCCCAGAGCTTCCCTGTGGGGCCTTTTCCTCCCTCACCTCTCATCTTTTCAGGGGCACTGAGGACATAGCCTGGAAGATTGAAGATATTCTTGAAGAGCTTGTGCAGCACCAGGAGCCGGAGTCGATACAGAGTTATCTAGAGAAGGTAAAGCTTGTGATGAGATCCACTTTGGCCACCAGGCATGGACACAGGGCCAGGCAAACTGCTGGTGATTTAACAGCACATAAACCACGGCCAGGGGCTCCAAGAACCTCCCTGAACTGTGTGAAGAGCGGGATTGTCCCTCAGGCTTCTTGGACACTCCTCTTGTGCGGGGCTGCAGAGGTCGGGGTGCGATCAGAAAGCTGCTCTCTTGGTTCTCCAGCTGCTGGGAGGGATGAGTGAACTTCCAGGTGGTTTCTCCTGACCCTGGGGAAGCCTTTTGGCTGGCAGGAGGGGGCTGGGGGGGCCTTTTTTGGGTGTTTTCCTCCGTGAATGGCAGCACTGGCAACTGGAATTCAACGTTCCTCCCCCGTGCAGGCACTGAAGTCCTCCCTGCACCCTCTGGGGAAGCTGCTGAAGGCCCTGACAGTGGCTTTCCAGGCAACGTATTCCGGGATTGGGGCCAACAGGCACCTGCTGACGATGGCACAGGAGGAAGTCAAGTTCTATGCCAAGAAAATTTGGGAATTCTACCGGTAGGTCGAGCAGGTGGAGTCATTCCAATGGGTGTGGGCACGGAGGGCTTGGGGAGGAGAGCACTGGGATGGTGCTGGCAGGTGATCTGCATGTTTTTTGGGGGCAGGTGCTCCAGAAAGGTGTTAAATAAGGAGTTATTTGCAATAACTGAGGTCATATGGACCTGGAAAACCTTTATTATTGTCATTATATGGTCATTTTGTGACCCAGGGGCTTTCATGTGAGAGAATCTCCCTGAGTTGTGGCAGATCAAGGAGCTGCTGCCCAGAATAACACTTTATTTAGACAAATATGAAGCAAAAATCCTCCCTAAGGACTGAGGGCAGCAAAGTGTGTCAAAGCAAAAAAACAGGGATGTGATAGCCGGGTTTGAAGGAGAAATAGGATCATGGAATGGTTTGGGGTGGAAGGGACCTTAAAGAGGATCCAGTGCCACCCCCTGCCACGGGCAGGGACACCTTCCACTATCCCAGGTTGCTCCAACCTGGCCTTGGACACTTCCAGGGATCCAGGGGCAGCCACAGCTTCTCTGGGAAATCCATTCCAGGGCCTCCCCATCCTCATGGCCAACAATTCCTTCTCAATATCCCATCTGTCCCTGTCCTCTGGCAGTGGGAAACCATTCCCTGTGTCCTGTCCCTCCATCCCTTGTAAACAGTCTCTCTCCATCTTTCCTGTAGCTCCTCCAGGTCCTGGAAGGCCACAATCAGTTCCCCCCAAAGCTTCTCCTCTCCAGGCTGAGCAATCCCAGCTGTCCCAGCCTTTCCTGCTCCATCCTCTGCTCCCCTTGGAGTGGATGAGTCCTCTGTCCTGTCTCCAGCAGCTCCCTGTCCCCCTGTGCTGGAGGCATCTCCCCCCTGAGGGGTCAGAGGGGCAGAATCCCCCCCTTCCCGGCCGTGGGATCATCCCAGGACACCTCTGTGGTTGTGCCTGGGGGTAATTAAGACCTGGCTCATAATTAAGGCCTGGATCAAAGGCATCCCTGGGATGCTGTTGCTCTTTGATTTATCTTTTAGGAGCTACAAGAAGTGCCCCAGTAGGCAGAGCTGGGCCTGGGGCTGCACTCGGGGTGGTGTCTCCTTAGAAAACGAGAGGTTGGATTAAAGCTTTGGGTGTTCTCAGTGAGGTGGGGGAGGGCTCTGAGCTGAGGGGTTGTCTGCTCCTGCTTGAGTTCCCTGGGCTGATATTTCTCCACAGAAACAAAGGGCAACCTCTCCCTAATCCTCAGTTTAGGAGGATGAAGCTGGTTTGGGAATAAAGGCCAGAGGGATGATCAGAGGGGTGGAGAGCATCTCTCACCTCAAAGGCAGGGTGAGAGGAGCAGCCTGGAGGAGAGAGGGCTCCAGGGAAACCTCATTCTAAACTGAAAGGGGAGAGATTTAGGTGGGATATTGGGAAGGAATTGCTGGCTGTGAGGGTGGGCAGGCCCTGGCACAGGTTGCCCAGAGAAGCTGTGGCTGCCCCTGGATCCCTGGAAGTGTCCAAGGCCAGGCTGGAGCAACCTGGGACAGTGGGAGGTGTCCCTGCCCATGGCAGGGGTGGCACTGGATGAGCCTTAAGGTCCCTCCCAACCCCAAACCATTCTGGGATTCTATGGAATATCAAGACAAAGCCCAGCTACTCTTCCCAAGGAATATCCTCTGATGCTCATGGATGGGTTGGAGAATTGGTTGCTCAATTCCCACGTCCCCTGGGTGGGAATTCAAGGAGATGGAGCTCAGTGCAGAGCACATTTAGGATTCCAGAGGGCCCACTCCGCTCTCCAGAAGCTGTGGGGATTTTGGGACACTCGAACAGCGAAACTTCCCCACTGAAACAGCACTGCTGGAATTGCAGAGAGCTTTGATATCCCACCTGGGGCTGGGACAGCTCAGCTCCACTTGGGAATAACCCAAATCATCCCTAATAACCAAATCATCCCTAAAACAAAAAAGGAAGAAGGGACTAAACCTTGTTCCTGCTGCTCTTTCAGGGGTTTGCTCCATTTGGCTCTGGAACAGAAAGGCCAAGTGCCCCCAAAGTGTGTGGATGGAGACACAAGGTAGGTGCCACCACTGGGAGTTTCATTCCAGGCAGTTTGGACGTGTGGGGTGTCCTCTGAAACACCCCAAGTGCTGAGCTCCTCCTGTGGGTCACTTGGGGGCAGGTTTAGTGCCCACACTTCCCTCTGAGGGCAGAGTGCTCAGCAGTTCTGCTCGAAGCAACTTCTTTGACTCGTGTTCTGGAGCAGCAGACACTGGCAGAGGAGGGAGAAGACATTTTCCCAGAACAAGAAAGCAGGAATAATAGTGGGAGACACAGATTGAAGGTTTTGGGGAGCGGGAAGAAGCGTCTTTGCTCAGCTGTCCCACTTTGGCCTGGACTTCTCTTTCAACCTGCAGCCTTTTCCAGGGGGGCTGAACAAAGCCAAGAGGTTGGTGGAGTTGTGGGCAAGCTGGAAGAGATCTGGAAGTGAATTTATTTGGGCTTTTTCCCTTAAGAAATAACAAATGCTCCACTGAAAAGCTCAGAAAGAACAGCTGGAGATGAGTTTCTACTGAAACAGCTCAGAAAGAACAGCTGGAGACAGGTCTCTGGTGCTCCAGGTTTCTCCCAGGGATTAAGGAAGTCTTGTGGAGATCTGTCCTGTCCCACAGCACAGGATGCAGCAGGATCTTCAGCGTGGGTGAGAGTGTCCTGTGGGTCACTACAGCCCGACTGGGACACTGGAGTCAGGGGGAGGAAGGAGGGGAGAACAAGGAGGACGCCTCGAGGTCCTGGAAGCTGCCTCTTCCATCGTGTGCTGGGTGGTTTGGGGAACGTTTCAGGTTGTAAAGTCACTGTAGGATTGGGTTTTCTCTGCCCCAGTGACCAGAAGGCCTCCAGTGTGGTCCTGCCCCTGATCCTGCCCTGCTTCTACCCCGAGCTCTTCATGCTGTACATGCTCTACCACGAGAGAGAAGATGACCTGTACTGCCAGGGCATCGTGGACCTCAGCCTGTTTCCTGACATCAAGCTCCTGGAGTTTCTGGATGTGCAGAAGTAAGTGGTGTTTTTCCATCCCTAGATAAAGGCTGTGATCCTGCAAAAGGACCTGGAGCCTGTTCCTGATCTGTCAGTGGCTGTGGCACTGAGGTTTTGTGCTGCCAGAGGAAATCCTGCCAGGAAGGGCCTGCCTGTCCTGGAAGGACAGCACTGACTAGGGAAAACTGCAAATAGATGGACTAATTGTAATTTTTGGGTGGAAAACGCCTTTATTACCTCAAAAAATGCTTTGTTCCATCCAGCCAGAGCTTATAAACGTGTCTCAGGAAGGGCAACAGCGGTGTCTGCTCTGAGAGAGGAGACACACAGACCCAAGAGAGGGGGGTCAGATGTTTCCTTCATCCATTCCTGCTGCTAAATCCACCTTTGGAATGAGATGTGGGACCAAACTCCACCAGCTTTGCTAGCACAGCATCAGCTGCACCTCAGGGAGAGCCTGGAGTCTCGGGTTGATTCAGTCAGTGCTCAGTGGGAGGAGTGGAATCTGAAGGTTCCCAAACTCTCCATTGCTCATCTCTGAGTGAAATCAACCCTTTGCATTAATGAGCCGAAGTAATTAATGGTAATTATCCCTGGAGCAGTGCGAGGAGAGCAGCAAACTCAGCCTCCTGCACCTCCAGGGCTGGAGCAGCCCCTGGGATGAGGGGACAGAAGAATGGGGTGATTTACAGCATCTCTGGGCTCTCCTTGCAGGCACCTCTGGCCTCTCAAGGACCTCACCCTGACCACCAACCAGGTGAGACCTCGCGGGGGTGCTGGGGCCTCATTAATGACCCTCACCTAATTAACTAACGAAGGGCACAGAGCTCCGTGGGTGGGTTGGGGGTTGTGTGCTCGGAGCTGCTCCAAAGGATCCGTGTCTGCTTTCCAGAGGCGCTCCCTGATCAAGGACAAGTGTTTCCTGTCGGCCACCGAGTGTTTGCAGAAGCTCATGTGAGTCGATGTTAATAACAATGTATCATGAACAGGGGGGGTAAAAGGTAGATGAGATGTAGGTGAAATTTAGTCAAAATGTAGATAAAATTCAGCTCAAAATTTAGGTAAAATTTAGCTAAGCTTTAGCGAAAATGGAGATAAAATATAGATAAAATTCAGCTAAAACGAAGTTCAAATTTAGGTAAAACTCAGCTAAAATGTAGGTAAAATTCAGATAAAATTTGTATAAAGTGTAGATAAAGTGTAAATAAAATTCAGCTAAAATTCACCTAAAAATTTAGATAAAATTCAGCTAAAATTTAGCTGAAATTTAGTTAAAATTCAGCTAAAAATTTAGATAAAATTCAGCTAAAATTCAGCTAAAATGTAGATAAAATTCAGCTAAAATTCAGCTAAAATGTAGATAAAATTCAGCTAAAATTCAGCTAAAATGTAGATAAAATTTAGCTAAAATTCAGCTAAAATTCAGCTAAAATGTAGATAAAATTCAGCTAAAATGTGGATAAAATTTAGCTAAAATTCAGCTAAAATTCAGCTAAAATTCAGCTAAAATGTGGATAAAATTTAGCTAAAATTTAGATAAAATTTAGATAAAATGTAGCTAAAATTCAGCTAAAATCTACATAAAATCAAGGTAAAATGTAGATAAAATTCAGCTAAAATTCAGCTAAAATTTAGAGGAAAATATAGATAAAATCTAGATAAAATTTAGATAACATTTCTAATTTAATAAACCTTAAATTTCTACCTGCTCCCAAAAGCATTTGAGGGTCAGCCCACCAGATAATTTAAAGAGAAGCTGTTTGTGATACTTTGACATTTAAACTGAACTAATAAGTTCTGTTTCCCTCCAAACCAACATGGAGACAACATCAGTGGTGTTTAAATGCAGTTATCCCTGGAATTCTGCCCAGATATTCCTGAGGAAGGGATCCTTCCCTGGGAGGGTGGGGAGGGGCTGGAATGGCTTTCCCAGAGAAGCTGGGGCTGCCCCTGGATCCCTGGAAGTGTCCAAGGCCAGGCTGGAGCACCCTGGGACAGTGGAAGTGTCCCTGCCCATGGCAGGAATGGGATGATCCTTAAAGTCCCTTCCAACCCCAAACCATGCTGGGATGATGATTCCACCCCAAATCAGCCTTGCAATAAATGGAATTTATTTATCCCAGGGCAGATTGGGCCTGGGGGTGACTCCTGGTCCCGTTGCTCTGGAGCTCCGTGAGGATCATCCACCCAGTGTGACGTCCCAAGGGAGGATCATCCACCCAGTGTGACGTCCCAAGGGAGGATCATCCACCCAGTGTGACGTCCTGAGGAGCTGATTGAGCAAAGCTGAGCTCAGTTTAAGCTCAGCTTGATCTCTTGAGGCCCAGCCTGGGTGATGGTGCCGGGCAGGGAGCGGGGAATCGTTGTGGATCCATCAGATGGGAGCTGTCAGATCCCCAAATCCTCCTGAGAGCCTCCCTAAGGAAGCCAGGGGCACTGTTTTTCTGGGATGTGCAGGGCAGAAACACCACATTCCCACCTTGGAGATGTCCCTGTTGACTCCTCGTTGGTGAAGGTGATTGATGGACTTGGGTCTCCTGAGTTTTCCGGGGGCTTTCCTAAGTCCCGCTTGCCCTCTTGAGCTGTGGAGTTGGGAGCACCTCTGGCAGGGCTGTTTTCCCACAGCACCACGGTGGATCCCAGGGAAAAGCTGGTGATCCTGCAGAAGACCTACGAGGAGATCGAGGGCACCGTGTCCAGGGTGGTGGGCAAGGACTACAAGCTGCCCATGGATGATCTGCTGCCCCTCCTCATGTACGTCGTGTCCCGGGCCAAGTAAGTGGCAGCTTCCCCCATTCCCAGCCCAGGGGCTGTGGGATCCCTCAGGGAAAGGACTCCAGGCCAAAGAATTGAAACGAAAATCTGGGATTTTGGGCATTTAATTTGCTTTTTCCTGAGCTTTTGGGTTCCTGTGAGTTGGGATCTGCCAGCTCTGCTGGGGTGATGTTAGCCAGGATATGAATTGATTAGGGAATTCCTGAGCGTCCATTCCTTTTCCCAGAGGGTAATTCAAGGTTGTCCTGGGAAATGGGGTCTCACAGGCCAAAGAACTGAAATGAAAAACTGGGATTTTGGGATTTAATTTGCTTTTTCCTGAGCTTTTGGGTTCCTGTGAGTTGGGATCTGCCAGCTCTGCTGGGATGGGGTTGCTCAGGATAGAAAGTGACTTCCTGAGGGTCCATTCCTTATGCCAGAGGATAATTCCAGGCTGTTATGGGAAATGGGGTCTTACAGGCCAAAGAATTTAAAGTAAAACCTGGGATTTTGAGATTTAATATGATTTTCCCTGAGCTTTTGGATTTCTGTGTAACCCTAACCCAGCTCTGCTGGGATGGGGTTGCCCAGGATATGAGTTAATTAGGGAATTCCTGAGCGTCCATTCCTTATCCCAGAGGATAATTCCAGGGTTGTTCTGGGAAATGGGGTCTCACAGGCCAAAGAATTGAAATGAAAAACTTGAGATTTTGGCATTTAATTTGGGTTTTCCTCAGCTTTTGGGTTTCTGTGGGTTGAGATCTGACAGCTCTGCTGGGGTGGGATTGCCCAGGATATGAATTGATTAGGGAATTCCTGAGGGTCCATCTCTTATCCCAGAGGATAATTCCAGGTTGTCGTGGGAAATGGAGTCTTAATTTAAAATTAAAACCTGGGATTTGGGGATTAAATGTGATTTTCCCTGAGCTTTTGGGTTTCTGTGTAACCCTAACCCAGCTCTGCTGGGATGGGGTTGCCCAGGATATGAGTTAATTAGGGAATTCCTGAGTGTCCATCCCTTATCCCAGAGGATAATTGAAGATTATCCTGGGAAATGAAGCCTCATTTTACCACAGGATTTAGGGACATGGAGCTTCTGAAGGCTGATTTTTGATGCCTTGAAGGCATCAAAACGTCCCTCCCCACCCATTTGTCCTAACTGGGACCTTTTCTTTCCCTAGAATCCAGCACCTGGGAGCTGAAATCCATCTGATCAGAGACCTCATGGATCCCACCAACCAAGGAGGAATGTTTGACTTCCTGTTGACAGCCCTGGAGGTGAGGGAATGTTTCCATTGCAGCTTCCTCAGCCTGAACAGCAAAGCTGGGCTGGGATTGAACTTTAGGGGCTCCTTCTGGGCCTGGAACAGGAGCTGATTCCCCTGAGAACCTGCAGAAAATCCTTATCCTTCATTTACAGCAGATTTAATCCTGAACTTGGGAGCAGCACAGCTTCTTTGGCTGCAACAGCCCTTATTTTGGCCCCAAAGTTGTCAAATTTTGCCCCCCACGTTGCCAAATTTTGGCCCCCATCCTGCCAAGTTTTTGCTCCAAAGCTGTCAACATTTGCCCACGAGCTGTCAAATTTTGGCCCCAAAGTTGCCAGATTTTGGTCCCCATGCTGCCAAATTTTGGCCCAAAAGTTGTCAAATTTTGGCCCCAAAGTTGTCAGATTTTGGCCCCAAGGTTCTCCAATTTTGGCCCCAAAGCTGCCCAATTTTGACCCCAAAGTTGCCAAATTTTGGCCCCAAGATTCTCAACTTTTGGCCCCAAAGCTACCAACTCTTGGCCCCAACACTCTCAGATTTTGTCCCCACGATTCCCAGAATTCGCCCCAAAGTTCTCAAATTTCGGCCCCCGAAGTTGCTAAATTTGATTCCTAGATTCCCAATGTTTGTCCCTCGAGTTCCCAGGTTTTTTCCCCGAGTTCCCCCGTTCCTGCTGACCGTGTTGCTCTGCTCCTCCCCAGTCGTGCTACGAGCACATCCAGCGGCTGCGGCTGCAGCAGCGCGAGAGCTGCCCCCTGAGCGCCAGCGCCTGAGCCCCGGATCCACAGGGATCATCTTCCTGGGATCCACAGGGATCATCTTCCTGGGATCCACAGGGATCATCTTCCTGGGATCCACAGGGATCATCCTTCCCGCTGCAGTGCCCAGAGCACACCCTGCTGGATCACAATCCCTGCTGCTCTGGCTGTGGAATTACAACCTCGATCCTAAACCACACGCGGGGGATGCTGATGGAGAAAACCCTTCACTCTCCAACCTCGGCTGCTGGTTGGGAATCTCTTCCCGAGTGGAAAAGGTTTCTTTTGCCCCCTGGTTTCGTTGGCTGGCCCTGAAAATAGCAGGGGATTTGCTTTCCCTGCTCCCTGGGAGGTTGATCTGCACTGGTGAAAGGACGGAAAGGAGAAGAGTTTAGGACGGGATTTGGGGTTGGAGAGATCACCCCCACATTCCTGAACAACCCATTCCTGGAGGGAAGAAGTGGTTTCTCCACCCTTCTTCCTCCCTGTGGCACACTCAGGACCTCTCCCTGGCCTTTTAAAGCTGCTATTCCCCAAATTCCGTGGTTTAGGAGATTTAAAGCTGTGTTGTTTCTGCTCTGCTCACTCCTGTGGAGCCTCAGGGAATGTCACACCTGCACCTTGGACGTGCTCCTGGCTGCTCTGGAATTCTGTGGGCTTGGAAGAAAGGAATGTTGGTCTGGGCTGAGAAATCCCAAATCCTGGCAAGAGAAAACATGGAAACACCTGGTTTTCCTGCTGCTTTTCCAAGGGGATTCGTGCTGACAGACCCCACAGACACCAGTGGGGCACGAAAATCAGGCTGGGATTTATCCTTCCTTTGGAAAACCACCGGGATATTTGGGATTTTTGTCCCTCCCAGACAAAACCAGCCAGGTGGGAGGTGCATTTTGAGAGGTTTGACACAGATTTTAACCTGCTTTATTTTTTTTCTTTTTTTTTTTAAATTATTTTTTACAGTTTGACTTCTAATTAATTGTCCAGGTCACTAATTAATCATCCAGGCAAACACAACCCAACTCCACAGGCTCTTGGCTCCCATTTCCCACATGGATTTATGCTTTAATAAGTAACACAATGATTACAATGAATAGATTGGGATGAGAGTCTCCTCCTCCTGGCTGTTTTAACAGGAACTTTATATTTAAATAAAGCTGTTGGAAGTTTCCATTCCAGCCTCACCTGCTCCTCATTCCAACCCCTTTGCTTGTCTTGAAGCACTTGAGGGTTTTGCTCTGATGGATTTCTTTTTAGGGAACACGTGGCTCCTTGATCATTCCTGGGAATGAAGGGATTTCAGGTGCAAATCTGGATCAGTAAATCTCATTTTTTTGGGTGCTTTTTCCTCCCTGCTGAACCAGCGAGGAGAACGTGGTCGGTGCCAGTGTCACAACATGCAGGGACACGAGGCCAAAAACATGCTTTTTCCCACCAAAAACACGGCACTGCCAGCTTGGAATCCTCTTTCCCCACCTGGAGGAGATGTCCCCTTTTGTTCACCTGAGGAGGAAAACTCCAGCTGAGTTTTGGAGAAGGAAGGAAACGGCCCCTAAGGAGCAGCTGGGAAGTGGGAGTTGCAGAGCTGGTGCTTTTCCAACCCCCTGTCAGCAGGTTGGAGCACTGGGATGGTTTAATCCCCCCCAAAAAAATGCTTTTTTCTCCACTTTTTTTTTTTTCCATGCTCTAGGTGAGGATTTTTCATTCCAGGTACCACTTGCTAGTGGAAAATGCAGATTTTTCTACTAGAAAAGGACATGCAAAAAGTGCATGCGAGTACAAACCCATGGAATTATCTAGAAAACCAGGGAATTCTCAGCCTGCTCAGGGTTTTCTGCTATTGCACTTCCTCAAATACAGTTTGTAGCTGCTTTTCCTGGGGGAAGGGAGGTTGGAAAAAAATTGAGGAAGTTCTTGAGCAAGAATTCAAGTGAGCCCTGAAGTGGCAACTCAGGTAACAGTGTGCAGCCATTTGTGCTTCTCTGGGCTTTCCCACCCAGCAGGAAGAGCAAGAGGGAGGTTTTCCCCGGGAATATTTCGGCATTCCAGCTGGGAATTGTGCTGTGGAACCATGCAGAGGGCTGGTTGGAGCAGCTGAGAGGAGGCTCCTTCCCTGATCAAATCCCTGCTGTGCCTTGGAATTGTGGGGGGAAAGGTGGGAGTACATTCCAATTCCTCCTTTTCAGGTTGGGAGGGGGTGGTCACATGCTTAATTAATAGTGCTCTAATTGCAATCAGGGCTCCAGGGTCTTAATTATGGTGTTAAATTTAATCCTGGAGCAGTTTGAGGGCTGATTCCACCCGAGAATTCCAGCTTTGGGGGCTCTACACGAGTAGAACCAGTGCCTTCCACATCCAGGCTCCAGCTCAGACTTCCATGGAAGCAAACTAGCTCAAATTCCCTAAAAAAAAAAAAGGAAGGAAAAGTTAAGCTGAGCTGCACCTGGAAGTCTTCAAATCATGGAGCTGGGAGCAGGCAAAGCAGAGCTGTTTGCTCTTGGAAGCACAGGGAATTTGGTTATCCACAGGGAATTTCTGTCCCCCTTCCCTGACTGGGAATAAAATACTGACAAAGGGGTGGGGTTTTCCTTTATGTGGGATTGGTTTTTTCCCTCCTCCAGCAGCTCCAAAATGATTGTCCTGCTGAAGGGAGTAAAGCTCTTTGTACCTCAACTGCCCTGCAGGTGAACAGGGAGGAGGAACCTCCTCCAAACCCTTTGGGAAAAGGTTCCTTTTCCCGAAGAACCGAGGGAATGGGGAAATCAGAGCAAGGCTGTATCGATGGCAGCTTTCAGGTGGTGCAGCAAAGCCTCTGGAGGGGGGGAGAGCGAGCTCAGATCCAGCTTCTTGAAATCCTCGTTGGCGCTCAGGGACGTCAACACCTTCACCGTCCTCTTGAGGTCAAACACGGCGTGGAGCATTCCCAGGGTGGAAATGGCAGCTTTGGAAGTGTTCTTGGCCGAAGCCTCCTCATCCAGGCCCTTTTCCAAGACTGAAATCCTGTTCTCTGCGATGACCTTGAGGAAGTTGTAGAACTCCTTGTAGTCGATGCCCGTGCAGGACTTCATGATCAACTAAAAAAACAGGGGATGGGGGAGGAAAAACCAGGGATTGAAATGGAAATAACACTTCAAATTTACAGGGAAAAAGCACCAAATCAGGTTAGAATTACAAGGAATCACAGATCGTTATGTTTCGTGATTTTTTTGGCAATTTGTGTTTGAACTCAAAAAGCACCAGCCTGATTTTTAATAAGGACTAAACTGCTGTGTTTTCAAAGCAGTTCTGAAGGAAACCCATCCAGGAACAGCCTCCAGAAATTAACTCTACATTTGTTTCCTGGCAAAGATTTTGGGAGGGAAGGAATTCTTTCCCAGCCAGAGCCAAGAGAGCCCCCAAGGTACAACCCTGCTCAGCAGAAATAGGGGCCCTTAAAGCATCACTTTGCAGACACAGAAACTGCTGCCACCTTCACCTAAATTATCCTTTCTTAGGATTCACTGTTCATAGAATTCCAGGATGGTTTGGGTTGGGAGGGACCTTAAGGATCATCCAGTGCCACCCCTGCCATGGGCAGGGACACCTCCCACTAGTCCAGGTTGCTCCAACCTGGCCTTGGACACTCCCAGGGATCCAGGGCAGCCACAGCTTCTCTGGGAAATCCATTCCAGTCCCTCCCCACCTTCCCAGCCAGGAATTCCTTCCCAATATCCCATCTAAATTTATCCTTTTTCAGCTTGAAGCCATTCCCTGTGTCCTGTCCCTCCATGCCTTGTCCCCAGTCCCTCTCCAGCTCTCCTGGAGCCCCTTTAGGCCCTGGGAGGGGCTCTCAGGTCTCCCTGGCTCCTTCTCTTCTCCAGGGGAACTCTCCCAGCATGTCCCAGCCTGGCTCCAGAGCAGGAATAGTCTTGAAAGGAGAAGCTGAAGGAGAGCAGTTGAAACATTTGCTTTCCCAACAACATCCCAACCTGGACATACCAAATATCCTCTGGCACAAGCCATTCCCAAGCTTATCACGGGAATATTTGCCTTCTTGCAAAATGCAGCCGCCACCAGTCCCTAATTCTTTAGGAAACGCGTGAATTCCAGGTACGAGGTGAAGGAATTCTGTGTCTCAGAGTGCCAGTAAGTGGCACAGTAAATCCCTGGGATACCTGATCCTTTAACAGGGTCAGGTCCGTGTTGTACCTGGCATTGGAGGTGCCAGTCATCCATAGGATCCTTCCACTGGTTGATCTCCCTCTGGACAGCTGCCAGCTCATCCTGCAGGAAGCACCACATGATGGCCACGTTGCAGCCGTTCACCCAGTTGTGGTTGATGGAGATGGTGTCCTCCTGAGGGAGCAATTCCAGGGGTTATCCCAAAGACCAAGCCGTTAGCATTTTTCATTCCTAAATTACAATTTCCAGTTCAAATCAAGGCTAAGAGCCTCCCCACAGGTCTGGCTCTCCTAAAATCCGATTCCTGAGCGACTGGAAGCATGTAATGACAAAAAAAAAAAAACCCCAGGAGAAGAGGATGCAGGTACCTTGTTTCACTTCATACTCCCCTAAATTCCAGTGGGCAGCGACCCAAGGAGCTTTGGAGTTCAGGTTTTAGCCATCAGAGAATCTCAGAATGGTTTGGGTTGGGTGGGATCTTAAAGCTCATCTCATTCCATAGGCAGGGACACCTCCCACTATCCCAGGTTGATCTTTAAGGTCCCTTCCACCCCAAACCTGTTCCTCCTAAAACATGGCTCGTGCTCAGCATGACATGGAATATCCACACTGACAAAAGCCTCATCCCACAATCCCAGAGCGGTTTGGAAAGGACCTGAAGGATTATCCACTTCCACCCCCTGCCACGGGCAGGGACACCTTCCCCTAGCCCAGATTGCTCCAGCCTGGCCTCGAACATTCCCAGGGATGGGGCAGCCAAGAATCCCTTCCCAAAAATCCCCTTGGGGCAGCCACAGATGGACCCTCCCTCCTCCGTTATTTTGCTCCCTCTACATTTTTGGCTTTTTAAACTTCGTGGACCCCGGTAAATCCGCCAGGGGTTGGACCTGACCCCCCCAGCTGCCCTGAGGAGCGGGAGGGTCCCGGGGGGTCTCACCAGGTTGTAGACCTGGTGGTGCCACCCACTGGGGATGAAGACAATCTCTCCCGCCTCCTGCACGATCTCCAGGGGGGGCTGGCTCTGGCTGTAGCGAGGGTACACCCTCCTGTCCTGCAGGCTGGGGGCGGTCACGTCGAAGGGCAGGTTGCCGTGTGTGTCCTTGAGGAATTCCTCCTGCCCCGCCGGATACAGCAGCCACTTCTTCCTGCCGCAGATGTTGGCGGACCAGCTGTAGGAGCGGAACACGTCGGCGTGGAACGGTGTCCTGAGGGGGGAAAACACAGGGTTTGGCTTCGGATTTAACGCTTCAGTTTGAGTGCTAAAAGTCCCCTGAGGATGTGAGACGCTGATCCCTTTTCCTTCCTGGAATTTGGGCTGGTTTGTGTGGTGTTATCTACCTGCAGTTTTATCTGCATCTCCACAGTGTCAAGCGTTTCCTATCAGGTCGGGTGGTTTCCTCTCAAATCCCTCCCGTTTGTGGGGTATTCTGTGGGATATTCTGGGATGGGAACTGAAAAGTGAACCTTTATAACCAAGGCCGGGCTGGAATTTTCACCTGTGGAACATCTGAGTCATCGCTGCCTCCACGAGGCTTCTGCTGACCCTGCAAAGCACTACTGGCTGATGATCCCAAGGGAATTTCTGCTCTAAATCCTTAAATAATCTGGTTTTGGGGGGCACAGTTCAGGGCTTTTCCTGCAGCTGCTGCAGGAGTTCAGCTCCTGAACAGAGAGGATTCAGGTGGAACACCGGACTCTGCAGCGTGGCAATACCCCAAAGGATAATGGGATAATTCCCTGGAATATTAATCTTCCAAATGGGTGTACAAGGATGAGAGAGAGCCCGCTTCCTTACCATGAGCCCTTGGGTCCCATGTAGACAAACCTATAATCATCCACAGCCACAGCATCCCAGTATTCGTTGAGCCAGTCGGAGGAGAAGTACACGGGGGTGGTGTAAACATCCTGCTCTGGGAAAGCCCTGGCAAAGGGAAAGGGTTGGAAAGAAAACTTCTCCCTCAGTTTCCAAAATCCACATGCAAAGATAAAAAGCCATATCCTCTTATCATGGAATCCCAGGATGGTTTGGGTTGGGAGGGACCTTAAAGCTCATCTTGTTCCCACCCCCTGCCATGGGCAGGGACACTTCCACTGTCCCAGGATGCTCCAGCCTGGCCTTGGACACTTCCAGGGATCCAGCGGCAGCCACAGCTTCTCCGGGAAATCCATTCCAGCTCCTCCCCACCCTCCCAGCCAAGAATTCCTTCCCAATATCCCATCTATCCCTCCCCTCTAGGCAGTGGGAAGCCATTCCCTGTGTCCTGTCCCTCCAGGCCGTTGTCCCAAGTCTCCCTCCATCTTTCCTGTAGCTCCTCCATGTCCTGGCAGGCCCCAGTCAGATCACCCAGGAGCTTCCCTTCTCCAGGCTGGCCAATTCCAAGGATCCCCATTCCCTGAGCCTCGGGAGATGACCCTTAGTCTCTGGGAGCAGCCTGCAGGGTTTCCAGAGCTCCCACCTGCTGAGGTGCCAGTCCTTGAGGTAGAGGCAGCCGCGGGAGGAGCGGTATCCGTTGCGGATGTACTCCTGCCAGTACCGCACGTACTCCCGGAACGGCAGCTGCTCCTTGGGGTGGGAATTGTATTCCCTCACGTCACACCGGGCCACCGGCACCACGGCCTCTCCTGCAAAACACAGCTCCCCTCAGGGCAGGGAGGGGCAGTTCTGCACCCCCAGAGACCTCAGCCTGCAGGTGAGCCGGGATAGCCCTGGGATCTGCAGGAACGATCCCCGCCTGGGATCAGCATTCCAGGCAAACGGGACCCAAAGTGGGGTTGGTTCATTTAACATGACCCGAATTTTCCAGGTGGTTATTGGATGTGACCCCTTTTTTCCTGGTATTTTTTTCAAATGACCTGGATTTTCCTTTTAAACGCCACTGGAAGGGGGGTATTGATTACTATTAAATATATATATATATAGGTTTATATCTATATTTGTATATAGGTATATTTATATAATATAATATAATTTACAATATATATCAAATTTACTATGTATATCAAATTTATAACCTAATATAATTTATAATAAATATATACTTATATATTATTACATATACTATCTATTATTATATATTATATTTAGACAGATCTATTATTTTAATATGTTATTTATTAAATATAATAAATATATAAATATGAATATATAAAATATAAATATAATAAATATATAAATATATAATAAATATACAAATATATAAATATAACTAATATATTAGTTAACATATTTATTATAGTCAATATATTATATATATTGATCTAATAGATACAATGATATATTTATGAATAATATATAAGTATATATTATTGACACATTAACTATCTAAATATATTAACTAATATAGATATAGTTTCATATAAACATATTGACTATAATAAATATATTAACTAATATAAATATGTGATTTAATAAAAAGATATTGACTATAATAAATATATTAACTAATAAAATTATATAATTTAATATAAATATATTAACTATAACAAATATGTTAACTGACTTGTTAATAACTAACTAATGACTATTCTAATTGGCCATTCTTTATAAAGGTTATTCCTATTATAAGATTAAATGTATTCTAGTTATTAAATATAATAAGTGTAAGATAAGGAGAGAAAAAGTAACAATGTAATAAGGGAAATGAGAGAAAAATATCAATATAAAAATATAACAAGTAGGGAGAAAGTATCAAGATAATAAGGAAAAAAGATAGGAAATGTAACCATAAAATAAGGAAAAAGTGGAGGAAAAATATAAATTAAATAAGGAAGAAGGAGAGGAAAAGCATCAATATAATAAGGAAAAAGGAGAGGAAAAGTATCCATATAATAAGGATAATAAGTAAAGTATCAATATAATATGGAAAAAGGAGAAGAAAAGTATCAATATAATAAGGGAAAAGGAGAGAGAAAGTGGAGAAAAAGTGGAGAAAAAATATAGAAAATAATAGAGGGAAATAGAGAAAAGTGGAGGAAAAAAATAAAAAATAATAGAGAATAATAGAGAAAAGTGGAGAAAAGTGGAGAAAAGAGCAAAAATAGAGAAAAATGGAGAAAAATCAGAAAAAATTTGGAGAAATGTGGAGAAAATAATAGATATAAAAAGGGAAATGTGGAGAAAAGTGGAGAAAAAACGAAGGGGAAGCGCCCGACTCACCGAACTCCCGCAGCAGGTGCTCGAAGTTGGGCTTCCCATCGCGCGTGACCCAGCTCCTCCTGCTGCCCCAGTCCTCCGTCAGCCTGGCTGAGAACACGCACGGGTGGTTGGGGATCAGATAATCCCGGAAAAAATCCGAGTAGCTGAAGGAATCGACTTTCTCGATGAAGTCAACGTGTCCCCCCGGCAGGCCCGGAGCAGCCTGGGGTGAGGCGCTGGAGTCGTGGAAAAAGGCGGTGGAACGGGCGAAGGTTGCCCTGTCCATGCAGGCTGGATGCAATTCCTGGCCTAGCCAAGAAAGGCTGGATGCAATTCCTGGCTTAGCCACGCCGGAGCCGAGCAGATCCCGTTCTCCCACAGCAAAAAAAAACCCTGCTTAAAACGGGATTGGAGCGTCTGAATCCGTGAAAACTCACGGGAAAGCAGAGGGGGAACGAGGAGTGGTGCAGGAGCATCCCAGCACGTTGGGATAATTGGGATCTTCCATAGTTTTCGGAGGTTAAGTGGGGCGGGACGGCTGGCAACGGGCAGCCTGTGGGGGGTGGAGGTGCTGCTCGTCCCTTGTCACCTCCTTGCCAGGGCTGGTTCCTTCCTGGAACAGGAGGAAACATTAAAAAATCAGTGGGATATTCCTGATCAATCCATTAATTGAAAGGATGGAGGGAAGGAACCACCCTAAATATCTGGGAAGTGATTGTAGTGGGATCACCCCTTCGTTGGAAGATACAAGCCCTGGCACCCCTCTCCTTCCCCAGACCTTCTCCTTTGGATCTGGCAGCAACCATGGCTTAAAAATAAGGGGGATAATAGGGAATAATAGGAATAAAAAGGAAGGTGGGAAAACTGAGCACAGAGGGAGGGCAAATAAACCACAGGGGATGCAGGGCTGGGATTTGGGAGGCACCGAGGGTGAAAGGGGAGATAAATGGGCTGCCATTCCCAGATAAACAGAATTCCACCCTCACAGAGCTCCAAGGGGACACCTCAAGGGATTAAAGGTTCTCCATGGGGAAATTCCAAGGGAACACCTGGACACCACAGTGGGATTAGGGGAATTCCCCCCTCACGGAGCTCCAAGGGATCGCGACAGCAGGATTAAGGGTTCTCCATGAGGGAACCGAATCCAAGGGAACAGCGGGGCACCACAGTGGGATTAAGGGGACCTCCATGAGGGAATTCCAAGCGAACACCGGGACACCACAGTGCGATTAAGGGACCCCCACGACGGAACTCTCCCCTCACGGAGCTCCAAGGGATTACGGGACCTCCATGAGGGGATTCCCCTTCCCGGGACTCCCCATCCCTGGGGGGGGGGGCACCCCGGACACCACAGCGCGTCGCACACCCCATCCCCGCATGGCGCCGCCGCTCCAACCCGCCCCTCCGCTTCCCAGAGCCCACTCGCAGAGGGAGCGACACTCACCCGCGACCCCCGCGGGACATCCCCCCGTGGCGAGCGGCGGCGGGCAGGGCGGAGGGGCGATGGCGGGCGCGGCCGGAACCTCCGGAACCTCCGCGCGGGGCGGGCGGGCCGAGGGGGGAGGCGAAAAGGGGAGCGCAGCGGCGCGGGGCGCAGGCGCAGAGCGGGGCCGGGGCCGAGCCCAGGGAGGTGCGAGAATTTTGGGGGAATTTGGGGTGGGAATGGGGGTTTGGGGGCTCAAACCGCGGCGGCTTCGAAATGGGGTCCCGGGGGACAGCTCGGGTTGGGGCTGGGAGTGGAGGTGTGGAATTGGGGCTGGGGGATTCGAACCGGGGTCGGTGCTGGATGGGAGGTGGGTGGAATTGGGGCTGGGGGCTGCAGGTGGGGTTGGGAGGACTCGAAATTGGGGGTCGGAGGGAGCTGGAATTGGGGCTGGGGGTTCGAGTTGGGGTGAGACGGGCTCGATTTGGGACTGGGGGGTTGGAATTGGGGCTTGGGGGTTCAAATTTGAGGCTGGGTGGGTTCGATAATGGGGTTGGGGGTGCTCATTGGAATTGGGGCTGGGGGGCTGGAGTTGGGGCTGGGGGGTTGGATTTGGGGCTGGAGGTGTTGGAATTGGGCCTGGGGTGTTGGAATTGGGGCTGAGGGGTTGGAATTGGGCTGAGAAGGTTGAATTGGGGCTGGGGGTTGGAATTGGGGCTGGGGGTTGGAATTGGGGCTGGGGGTTGGATTTGGGGCTGGGGGTTTCGATTTGGGGCTGGGGGTTGGAATTGGGGCTGGGGGATTGGAATTGGGGCTGGGAAGGAGCTGGAATTGGGGCTGGGGGAGCTGGAATTGGGGCTGGGAGGGAGCTGGAATTGGGGCTGGGGGAGAGCTGGAATTGGGGCTGGGGGGCTCTGACTGGGGATTTCCCAGAGAAGCTGTGGCTGCCCCTGGATCCCTGGAAGTGTCCAAGGCCAGGCTGGAGCACCCTGGGATAACAGAAGGTTTCCCTGCCCATGGCAGGGGGTGGAATGGGACGATCTTTAAGGTCCCTCCCAACCCAAACTGTTCTGGAATTCTGTGGTGTAGCAGGTGACAGGGTTGGGTTTGGTGTAAGGAAGAAGAGAAGGACTTTGTAGGGGGAAAAAGGAAAAGGAAAGGCTGGAAATCCTTTCCAGGATGGAGAAGTTCTGGCCTGGGGTAAGGAAGTAGCTGGAGAGGATTGGGATTGGCACTGGAGAGGAGAAGGAAGGGGGTCATGGAGGAAACAGGGGGGTCACCCCTGAGCTCTTTGTGTCTTGTAGCTTCTTGTGGAGAATCCCAGAGTTCAAAACCTGATGGAAGTGTGTCCTGGTTAAAAAAAAAAAAGGGGAAGATACAGTTGTTAGGCCTTGGAAACATCCTTACTGAGGGTTGTTGGGATCCCAGGAGCTTCCAACTCCTCCATTTCCCAGATGGTAGATTGGGAATAAAAAAATTGGGCATGAAAACTCCAGCCAGGAGGGAGGAGAGAAAAGAGATAAAATAGGAGATAAAAATAAACCCCAAACCCCATAAAATACAGGATTGTGTGCAGGAATGTTGTGCAGATCATTCCCAAGGGTGGGAGAGAAGAATCCAGGACTGGAATTTTGGTGGAAACCTTGCAAAGGGAAGGTGGCAGCAGCTCCTTGTCCTGGTGCTTGGAGCATCTCCTGGGATAATTAGTAACCCTCCCAATTAATTGGGGAGCTCACACGAGGTGAGTCACCTCCTTTTTATGGAAGAACAGTTGAGTCTCACCCAAAGAATTCCCACACTGGGGGTGACTCTGCAGGGAAGCCAATCCCAGCTCCCCGTTCCCAGTCCCAGCTCCCGCTCCTGGGGAAACTGTGGGAAAAACTGCAGCTTTTTGGGGGTGAAAAGTCAAAGTATTTGTTTAAAAATATTTGTGATTTCCACTTAGGCTGAGATTAATTACACCCCTTAATTCCACACGATCTGCTCCCTCCTGGGAATCCTAAAATCAACAAAGCCAAGTCCTTTCCCAGGGATCCTTGGGGGAATTCCTGCAGCGCCCACTGAGATCTCCCAGCTTGGGCATTATTAATAGCCCTTAAAACCTCCAGTTCCAGGGCTATTTTTAATTAAATACTCAAAATTCCATATTCCTGAGGTAAGGACTAATCACAGCTTGTTCTATCCCACAAAACCTGTTCAGTTTGGGTTTCAAACCTTATTTTCATGGCCTTTTTGAAGTTTAAATTTCTCCTCAGAGAGAGAGGGAATAAAAGGAAAAAGGAACGTCCAGATGAATGAAAATGTCATTGTACTGGGGGGAGGGGGGGAAAAAAAAAAAAGCCGGAAAAATGACTGGATTGAATTCCCAAAGAGGTTTTTTGCTTGGAAAATTTGCCCTCGGGCACCCTGAGGAGCTGAGCGAGCGTCAGGTGAAGGCTTTGAGGTCTCAGGTGAGTCAAAAGTCACGAGACCCGAGGTACAAAATCCTATAAATAGCCGGGGCAGGGACTGCTCTGCTTTTCCTGGGCTCAGAGCACTTGTTTTCCCTCGGTGTTGAATATCCAGCCGCTGTTTTTTATGGATTTGGGATTTTGGGAACAGCGAGAGCGGTGGTTTTGATACAGCTCCGAGTTGGTTTGGATTTGAAGAGAAAGAAACGCTCGGGGAGCAAAATTTTACCTCCTAAAAAGCGGCCCCAAAAGGCTCCCCGAGAATTCCCATGGCTGCACATCCAGGTGAGACTTCGGGATCTGGATTAGGATCATCCTGGTTTAGGGCACAGGCCCTGAGACTGCATTAAATATCAATATTTTGGGGGTTTTGAGGGAGAAATCTTGGCCTGCTGAGGAGCTGGTGGGGGTTTTGTAGGGCGGGGGCGGCTCCTGGGGTGTGAAAATGGGCTCCAGGATGAGATTTTATTGAAAAAAAATGGGATTTATTTGCTAATTTGGGATTTTTCTGCCTGCCTGGGCCTGAGGGAAGGTGGGAGGTGCTGCCAGGGAGGTTTAGGAGCTGCTTTTCAGGGGGTTTTTGTGTCCCTTGGGGTCTGTCCCAACCAGTGGTTCCAGGTTTTGCTCCTGTTCGTCTTAATTCCATGATTATTTTTATATATTAGTTATAATGTGTATTATAAATATGTATTAATATAGAAGGTAAAATAATCTAAATTAATATATCCTAATATATATGATCCATATTTTTATACTTGCATTTTATATATATATATTTATATATATATATACATATATATATATGTATGAAATGTATTATAGTATTTTCCTGGTCTATATTATGATTTATAATAATACATAATAATATAAAGTAGTAAATATATATTTTTTTATTTTTATACAGTATGTATTATGTGTACTGTTTATAATATATGTTTTAAACATCTATAATATATAATATAAAGTCATAATTATGTATCTGTTTATATCTACTTATATATTTTTAATATACAATATATATCATATATATTAATATAAAATATATGATATATATTAATAGTACATACTATAACACATTATATGATAAATATAAAAGTATTGTAACATTTATCATATAATGTATTAATCATATATAATATAATCATATATTATCATATATTATATTATAATATATGTTAATAATATATACACATTATTTATACTTTATATCTAACACTTAAAAATACATAATACACAATATAAAATAATAAAAATTAAATAATAAGTAAATATAAATATATAGAAATATATAAAAATAAATAATGAAAATTAATATAATACTATATATGCTATGAATAATATATAAATAATTATGGAATTAAGTTGTTGTGAGCTGGGTGCTGATATTTGACATTTTCCAAAAATCAGTGAAAACAGGAAAAATGATAGAAAATGTGAATTTTTATCATCTTTACTGTAATTATTTCACCTCTAGGCCCTGTATACTAAGTTAAGCTTATGTGGGATCTATAAATGATTAAAAAAATATTTTTAAATATCTATATATTTATAAATTTAAAAATTATTAATATAAAATATATGGTTATATATATTTAAATTAAAATATATGTATTAAAAGCATATTTAATTTATAAATTATAATTTATGACTCCTGATTAATAAACCCTTAACGTGATTTGCCTTCAGCTCTAATTGATTTCAGCACTAAAATGGTTTTTTTAAAGTGGTTTCTTTGTCATTTATAGTAATAAATTATTACTATAATAATTACAAACCCATAATAGGAACATTTCCCACTTCAATTATCCTGTCAAAAATATTCCCTGGATTTTTTTTTTGGAATCCCACAGTTGATTCCTCTGTTATTTGGCTGGTTATTAAAGCATTAAATTAAAGATCCTTAAAAAAGCGTTTTCCTTTTTCCCTTTTTGCGACAGAAAGAGAAATAACCTTGAAGTGGAAATTAAAATAATAAATAAATGGAAATTGAAATAATAAAGCACAAGAATTATAACACTCCCTAAATGTCATAAAATCAAACTTTCCTCCCTCAAATCCTTCTGATCAAACCTGTGTTGGAGGAACCACCTTGTTTTTCTCCGTGGGAAATTTATCTCCAAATTAGGAATTTTATGTGGCAAATGTTGGAGAAATAAATAATATTTCCCAGAATTTGGTTTTGTTGGCTGGAATCTGATTTAAATCCGATTTCTGGGGGCTTTTTCTCCCTCTCTTTGCTCCCAGTACCGTGGTTTATTATATATAATATATAGGGTTTATTATATATAATAATCCAGGACTGTGGATTTATTGGGAATTTTCACTTTAAACTCCAATTTCTTGGTAAATTTATGGCCTTTTTTTTTATTTATTTTTCCCCATATCATCTCTACAATTAATAATGAAAATAAGGTATTAAAAAGCCATGAAAATAAGATTTTAAACCCAAATTAAAAGGGTTTTTTGGGGGGTATAAAAACTGTGATTAATCCTTCTCTCAGGAATACGGAATTTTGAGTATTTAATTAAAAATATCCCTGGAACTGGAGGATTTAAGGGATGTTAATGATGCCCAAGCTGGGAGATCTGGTGGGATGGCTGTTCCCAGATTAATTGTGGGATGTCACTGGGCTGCAAACAGCGAGGAGTGAGATGGGACAGGGAATAATCCCGCCCTTGGGAACGGGAAACCTCTGGAAGTGTGGACAGAAGGCACTCCAAGGGTGTGCTCTGTTTCATCCCCCATCCCAAAGGACAGATTGTTTGGATATGAGGAAGTGACGGCTCTTTGTTTTCCTGCTGGGATTCCAGATCCCGGTGAGCAATCCCCGTGGGATTAATGAGTCATCCAAGAGCATCCCGTGCTCCCAGGAAGTCATGACCCATCCACGAGTGCTGTGAGCATTTCCCAGGACAAACACTGTGGATTTGGGAGATATTTTGGCTGCTTCTTCCACCTGAAGTTTGTTTGCCCTGGAAGATAATTTTTCCAAGTTGTTATTCCTAAATAATATCCAAGAGATAGTGACAATTCCTGAAGAATATCGATCCGTTTATGGCTGGGAGTTTCTGATCTTTAATCCTTGGGAATTCTGCTCAGGAAGTGTCCCTGCCCATGGCAGGGGTTGGATTAGAAGGTCTTTGAGATCCCTTCCATCCCAAACCATGCTGGGATTCCATGGATGTTCTGGAGCGTTCCCAACACACCTGGGTGTTGGGATATCAGAGTGGAAGGGGAAGGAGCAGTTATTCCTTGTAGATACCCACTAATGGGATGTGTTTTGGGATATCCTGGATTCCCTCCAGGACCTGTTGGTCTGTGGGAAGCTCCTGAGGATGAAGCGGGAATGGGAATATTCCAGGACATTAAGGCAGTTTGTGCTGCTGGGAATGGGGTGGCCAATGACACTGACAGTCCTTTCCAAAGGAAATACTCAGAAATGATTATGGAGCAGTGGATGGATTGAATTCCCAAATAGGTTTTTGCCTGGAAAATTTGTCCTCAGGCACCTTTAGGAGCTGAGCCTTGGAGCTCTCAGGGGAGTCAAAACTCACCCACATCCACCCACAGCTGCTCCCAAACCTATCTCAGATATCCACCTGGAATATGAGAGGACTGGAAGCAAACTATGGATGGGAATAACCTTCCTAAAGATTCCTGCTTTTTTGTTTGTTTGTTTGTTTCTCCTTTTCCCGTAGTTTCTCCCGGCGCTGAGAGCGTTTCCCTCGGGGAGGGGGATCATCCCAGCGAGCTGATGAACGAGGACATCCGTATCCACAGCTGGCCTTGCTCCTACTACCTGGACAGCGGGAAGCAATGGGTGTCTGGGAGGCTCTCCCTGACTCCCGTCGGGATCAAATTCACAGCTGACAAGACGGGCGAGCTCTTGGTCGACTTCCCCCTGTCCGGCATCAGCGAGATCAAGAAGGAATCTTCCAACCTGATCTTCAGCTCCCTCACCATCCTGGAGAAGAGCACCAAGCACTGGTTCAGCTCCCTGCAGCCCAGCAGGAATGTGGTGTTCAACGTCCTGGAGCACTTCTGGAGGGAGCAGCTGCTGGAGAGCCGAGGGGCGGGAGCGGTGGGAGCGGCCGGGAGGAGCAGCAAGGGCAAGGAGCTGACCGGAATGTTGGCAGGATCCCAGAAACGCCTGGAGGACACGGCCAAGGTGCTGCACTACCAGGGGGAGCAGTTTGACAACATCATCAAGGGGCTGGACAAGATCGAGGGGGACATGGATGTGGCCGACAGGTAAACGGGAATGGGAGAATCCGGGGGGTGCCGGGAGGGGGTTCCTTCCTCCTGCCGGGAATTCCACCCTGAGACCCAAGGGTTTTGGGTTTGGTCAGAGGGGATGGGACAGCTCTGCTGGGAGAGCTGGGATTGGGAGCCTGGAGAGGAGAAGCTTTTTTGGAGGGGGGGGGAATTAATTGTGGCCTTCCAGGATTTGGAGGAGCTGCAGGAAAGATGGAGGGAGATTGTTTACAAGGGATGGAGGGGCAGGACACAGGGAATGGCTTCAAACTGAAAAGCTGGAGATTAAGGTGGGACATTGGGAAGGAATTTTTGGCTGGGAGGGTGGGGAGGGGCTGGAATGGATTTCCCAGAGAAGCTGTGGCTGCCCCTGGATCCCTGGAAGTGTCCAAGGCCAGGTTGGATGAGGCTCTGAGCACCCTGGAAGGTGTCCCTGCCCATGGCAGGGGGTGGCACTGGATGATCCTTAAGGTCCCTCCCAACCCAAACCATCCTGGAATTCAGTGATTTTATATATAAACCTCCTCTTTCCTTCAAATAACTTTCCCAATCCTTACGAATTTCCCCTCCAACTGACAGAAATATCCACATCCCAGAAGTTATTAGTGAGTGGGCAGCTAATTAGGGGAAATATGGGAATTTCACGTCATTCAGGTGTTCATTAACACGGCGTTCCCACTTTTATTGGATGGCCTGGAATATTCCTGACTCAAAATCCTGGCATTTTGCTGCCTTTGGAGGAGTGAAGGAAGAGGTTTGGGGCCGGTTGGAGATCTGTTGTTTAACTGGAGCTGCTCCAGAACTCGAGGGAATGGTAAATACTTGGTGTTAATCAGAACCCTGTGGCTTTGCTGTCTGCTGCTGAACATTCCAAGGGGAATCCTTTGATGTGTTTTGTGTTCCAAATGGCCAGGGAAGGTCAAGAGAAGCGTTGGAATGTTTCAGGCTTGGAGGGCCTTTGGAGCAGCTCCGACACCTGCAGGGAGAAACGAAACACAATCAAAGCCTGAACTGGGTTGTTTTTGGAAGCAGCAGCTGCTTCCAGATGGATCAGCTGGAAAAGGGAAGTTTCCCAGTGGTTTTGGGGATGTTCTCCTTGTCCTTTCATGGAAAGCCAAAAGACTCAGAAGCTTCAGAGCTCGGAAAGCTCCGGGGCAACAAGGAAAGGGCAGGGAAAGCAATCCCTGCTCCTTGGTTTTGGAAGAGGGGCTCAGGGTGCAAGGGCAGGGATTGTTTGTCCTCCTGGAGCTGAAAAGTTGGGAGTCTTGGACTTCAAAATGGGAAAATAAAGGAAAGCAGGGAGCAAACGTGAGCTGAGTTTGGCCACGGCTCCAGGGGGGCAGAATCAGCTCTGATTTTATGCACAAACCTGTCCTGATTGCAGGAAATTTGGGAACAAACTGCTCCTTCCAGTTTGGGGAGTGTGTCTCCTAAAAAGAACCAGAGCCCTGTATCTGCTTCCATGTGTTTAAAGCCTGGATGAATTTTATCTTGCCTCTGTGTGTGGCCCCTTTTTTGGATTGTTAATCCTGGGTTTGTGTATTCCTGGATATTTCCAGCTGCTCTCAGATGAGCAGAGCTGAGTGTGGTGGTTAGAGCCCCCCAAAATAAGCAGGAATGCAGATCCTGCTTTAATATATTCCTAATAAATGTATTTTTAATATATTTTTTAATATATTCCTTTTAAAAAAATCGAAGTACTCCGGTGCAGATTTTCCTCTGTATCTACAGATGGATGGTTTGTTGATCCAGGGGGGTGATTCCACCCTGGAATACTGGAAAAATTGGCTGGAGGCTTTTTTTTAGGGCTGATTCTTGACTGGAAATCCCACAGGGATATCAATCCCTGGGAAAAGAGGGATGAAGTGATAAAAATTAAGGATTCAAGTTACCCAGATAAATCACCCCAATGTAAAGGAGGTTTAGATCATTGGGAAGGAGATTCCTGGAATTCTGCCTCTGCTATCCATGAATTCAGTGGCTGACTCCCAGTATGGCTTTTCCTAGGAGAGGAATCCCTTCCAGTGGATCTGTTTGTAAAACTTGGTTGGCAAACAAAGCCTGTTGAGTTGGAGCTTCCTCCTTCAGCCCAGACTTCACCCCATTAAACAGCACTGAAAAATTGCAGGATTTGGGAAGTTTTCTGTGGGAAAACGGGGATCCTCTCCTGGAAAACAAAGCCTTGCAAAAAGCATCCTCTAAAAGGAAATGAAACCAGGCTGGTTGGGTTTGTGGGATGCTGGAAGCGTCCAGTGGGAATGGGGGGGAGGGTTGTTGGAGCAGTGGATGCATCCCAGGGGATGGATTTGCCTCTTCCCATGCCCAGGGAAGGGGGATTTGAAGCTGCTGTTGCCTGTGTGGGGAGGTGGAGCTGTTCCCAAAGTTTCTTTCCAGTCATCCTGAAATACAGGATCATCTGCTCCCGGGATGGGTTTGGAGATGGGCAGGGAATGAGAGTGGGAGCAATGGAGCATCCAAGGAGCTGCCTCTGGCTCCTGGAGAGGGATGGAAAGGCTTTGGAGAGACCTTGGAGTCCTTCCCAGGGCCTAAAGGGGCTCCAGGAGAGCTGGGGAGGGACTGGGATGAGGGATGGAGGGACAGGACACAGGGAATGGCTTCCCACAGCCAGAGGGCAGGGAGAGATGGGATATTGGGAAGGAATTCCTGGCTATGAGGGGAGTGAGGAGCTGGAATGGTTTTCCCAGAGCAAGCTGTGGCTGCCCCTGGATCCCTGGAAGTGTCCAAGGCCAGGTTGGAGCAACCTGGAATAGTGGAAGGTGTCCCTGCCCATGGCAGGGGTGGCACTGGATGATCCTTAAGGATCCTTCCCACCCATTCCATGATTCCTGTGCAGCCCTAGGGATGCTACAGCACAGCCCATGGAAAATCAAACCAAACCTGCTGTTTTTCTTCTCCTCCCCATTTTTTTGGGTGAAAAGAATCCTGGTGAGGCTTAGACTCAAAAATCAGGGATTCTTTCATGATCCTTTCTTGGGAAAGGCCCCCAGGAAAAGGGAATGTCTGCCTTGGGAGCTGCACCAACACTGAGGGTGAGGGAGACTCTGGACACTGGTGGGAATTCTCTGCTGGACTTCTGAGCCTCAGTCTTAGTGGGAATTTTAACTGGGAATTTGGGTGTGGGGGCAAAGCAAAAGGGGGTATCAGACTGTGGGATTGAGGGATAAGGGAGCAGGAGAAGGCAATGAAAGGGATGAGGGGCAGGAGTGGAAAATTGAGGAAAAGGCAGTGTGAGCTGAGGAAAAGCCTGGAAAAATCCAGCTGGCAGTTCAGTTTCTTGCATCCCAACAGTGAGATTCCAGCAGTACTTCCCAATGTTTTAGCAGGTGAGGAGAAGCTGGGCTTTGAAACGGGTGGATCCTGGGAAGCTGGGAATAGGTTTGAGGGGTGAAATAACAGCGGGCTGGATTCGGGATTAGGGAATTGGGGATTTGCTTTGAACTGGTGGGATAACAGGACCTTCCCACTGGTTTTTCCCCGTTCTAACCTTCCCTTTCTCCCTGCCAGGTTGTTGACCGAGCTGGAATCTCCTTCCTGGTGGCCCTTCAGCGGCAAACTCTGGAAAACCCCTCTGGAATCCAAACCCAAGGAAGCGGCCGCGCCTGCCGAGCCCAAGAGCCAGGAAGGAATCATCCTGAGAATCCCAGTCATCGTCACCCACAGGACAGACTCCAATGCCAAGCCTGGAAAACTCACCCTCTTTTCCTCTGGCCTGGAGATCAGTGACTGCAGCGGGCAGGTGATGCACAGGTTCGAGGGCAGGGACGTGGACGAGGTCCGGGTGCACTCGCCCTACGAGATCAGCGTCCGCCAGAGGTTCATCGGGAAACCCGACACGGCCTACAGGCTCCTGTCAGCCAGGATGCCCCAGGCCATTCCCGTCCTGGAGGTGCAGTTCAGCAGGAAGATGCAGTTCCTAGAGGATGCCCTGGGCTTTGCTGGAGCCGGGAAGTCTCCTCAGGGGGATTTGGGCACCTCCATCTGGCAGGCAGGTGTGTGGGACGGGGGATCCCTCTGGGAGCAGGAACTGGCTCCAAAGGTTTCCAAGTGTTTTCCAACCCCAAAAATATTCCCAAGGCAAATCCTCCCCTCCCTGTGCCAACAGTGGTGATGATAAAATCCAAGGAATTGGGGCCAGGAAGTGGGTTTGAGGACCTTTCTCTGGCAGGCAGGTGTGTGGGACGGGGGATCCCTCTGGGAGCAGGAACTGGCTCCAAGGGTTTCCAAGGGTTTTCCAAACCCCTAATAGTGTAAAATATTTCCCAGGCAAATCCTCTCCTTCCTGTCACAACAGTGGTGATGATAAAATCCAAGGAATTGGGGCCAGGAAGTGGATTTGAGGACCTTTCTCTGGCAGGCAGGTGTGTGGGACGGGGGATCCCTCTGGAAGCAGCAACTCTGGCTCCAAGGGTTTCCAAGGGTTTTCCAATCCCAAAATAGTGTGAAATATTTCCCAGGCAAATCCTCCCCTCCTTGTGCCAATGATGGTGATGATAAAATCCAAGGAGTTGGGGCAGGGAAGTGGATTTGGGCACCTCCATCTGGCAAGCAGGTCTGTGGGACAGGGAATCCCTCTGGAAGCAGGAACTGACTCTAAAGGTTTCCAAGTGTTTTCCAACTCCAAAATATTCCCAAGGCAAATCCTCTCCTTCCTGTCACAACAGTGGTGATGATAAAATCCAAGGAATAACCCCAGGTGCCTTCAAACCCTCTGTCACTGCTGTTTTTCCTTTGTCATTCCTGGCTGGAATAGATTAATTACAATAATATAATAATAGATTAATTACAACCTGTATAATGTTATAATGCAATGATATAATACATAATTATAATTATAATACAATGATATAATAATAGATTAGTTACAACCTGTCCTTCAGTTAAATACAGAAAGTTTAACCCAAATATCCATGCCAGGAATTCAGTAAATCATGGGATAAACATCATATTGATTTTCCCCCAAAATTTTTTTCCTAAAAACCCCTAAATTTTGGCATTGTTCAGGTGTTTAAATTTGGGAGATTTTAGACCTCAGATTTGTTGATTTTAAGATTTCAAGAGAGACTGAAACCCATTCCCAACAATCAGCTCGACATTCCTTACTCCTCTTAATTCTCCTAAAATTCCAAGGAGTGTTTTTCCTTAGGTTTTTTTTTTTCTTTGTAATCCAACCCTGGCTTCATTTCATATTTCTCACTTAGGAATTCATTTCTATCACCACCCCTAAATCCTCTTTTTTTTTTTTCCCCCCCTAATTTTCAGTGACAAAAGAGCAGCTCAAGGCCTGGATTTATTCCCAGCATATTAAAACCAAGCAGAAAACAGGATAAAATATTAAATTAACATCTTTCTGTGCCCCAAACATCCTGGAATTCAGCAAGGGGGGGAGGGTATTTTTGAAGGGGGGAAAAAGCTTGGAAAAACCTTGTTAATTTGGTAAGGAAGGAAGTTTTGGGCATCTGGCACTTCAAAATCCAACAACAGCTTAGAGGAAAAACAACCTGCTTTGAGTTATTCCAGCAAATTGGAGTCCAATTCCTGAGGGCCTCAAGGCTGGTTATATAAAATCCTCTTTTTTTTTGTTGTTTTTCCCCAGCCCTCCCAGGTTTTTCCCGCTGCTGTGAGTCAGGGAAGGAAGGATTTTGCTCCTTCCCTGCTGCCTTTTCCCTGGTTTCCTTTGGAAATGGGCACGGATTAAAAACCCCCGGGGCTGGTGGAAATCCTGACTTTTCCAGCTGCACCAGAGCCCTTGTTTGTTTGTCCCTTCCCGGAGTTTATCCCGGTTTTCCTGCAGGCACAAGGGGGCACCCGCGGGCCGTGTTGGAACCTCGGGGAGTTGGTTTTTTTTTTTTTTCCATGGATATACCAATTTTTTCTTCTTTTCCCTAAAAGCTGAGGGGCAAAACCTCAGTGTTTTGCAGGAAAAAAATCTGTATTTTTTCAGATAATGAATTAATTTAGGGATTTATAGGAGAAAAATCCTGGCAGGGGAGGTTCATCCATCTTAAAATTAAGGATTTTACCCTCTTTACCCCCAGCTGTCACAACCTCACCTGGAGCTTCTGTTTACACCAGTCCTAAAATTCTGCATATCCCACGTAAATACTCAAAAAACCCACCCTTTTTCCTAAGATTTTTGGCAAAATTCTACCTGGAAGAGGAATTCCTGAGGGGTTTTCTACACCCCAGATTATCTGAAAGGATTTTCACTTCTTTTCTCCCTCTTTTTTTTGGACACGTGTGGGTGTTTAAACGCTCAGGGCAGCGCAGTGGGGTTTGGTTTATCCCATTTTATCTGGTTTTTAGGCAATTCCACCCTCAGGAATGGCTGACAGCACCTTCCCAGGATTGAAAAAACGGGATTAAAATCCTGCAGGGCCTCTGCAGCACAACCATTTAGGGCTGTCTGGGCCCTGCAGCTGAATTTTGGCATCCACAGGTTTTTTTGTCCCTTTAGAAGCTGCTGAATTTTTCCTGTTTATCCCCAAATTTGCTCTTTATTTGGAGTTTCCATCCCTTTGTTCTGAGGCTTTTTGTCTCACTGGAAGTAACACCAATGAAACCAAATTGCCCTTTAAAATATTTCTGCCTTCTTGTCCAATATCTCCCTAAAAAACTGCTGGGAAATTCCAGCTCTCCTTCCTCAGCCCACTCTTTGTCCTCGGATTGATGGAGATGGATGGATGGGTTAATTGCTTTTAAATAATTAATTAGCACGTGGTGACACTCAGCTGATAAGAAACACAACTTCCTCTGGCTGTTGCCATCGGGAATTCTGTCATTCCCTCCCCACTTTTCCTGGGAAGGACATCCAGTGCCATTCCTGCTACAGGCAGGGACATCTCCCACTAGTCCCAGGTTGCTCCAACCTGGCCTGGGACATTCCCAGGGATCCAGGGGCAGCCACAGCTTCTCTGGGAAATCCATTCCAGCCCCTCCCCATCCTCCCAGCCAGGAATTCCTTCCCAATATCCCATCTATCCCTACTCTTTCTCAGTTTGAAGGATCTCCCAGTGGTGGCACCTCCTGTGTCTCCATCCACACACAAGGTTTAGTCCCTTCTTCCTTTTTTTTTTTAGGGATGATTTGGTTATTAGGGATGATTTGGGTTATTCCCAAGTGGAGCTGAGCTGTCCCAGCCCCAGGTGGGATATCAAAGCTCCCTGCAATTCCTGCAGTGCTGTTTCAGTGGGGAAGTTTCGCTGTTCGAGTGTCCCAAAATCCCCACAGCTTCTGGAGAGCGGAGTGGGCCCTCTGGAATCCTAAACGTGCTCTGCACTGAGCACCAACTCCTTGAATTCCCACCCAGGGGACGTGGGACTTGAGCAACCAATTCTCCAACCCATCCATGAGCATCAGAGGATGTTCCTTGGGAAGAGTAGCTGGGCTTTGTCTTGATATTCCATAAACCAGGATGGTTTGGGGTTGGAAGAGACCTTAAGGCTCATCCAGTGCCACCCTGCCACGGGCAGGGACACCTTCCACTATCCCAGGTTGCTCCAACCTGGCCTTGGGCACTCCCAGGGATCCAGGAGCAGCCACAGCTTCTCTGGGCAACCTGTGCCAGGGCCTGCCCACCCTCCCAGGGAAGGATTTTTCCCAATATCCATCCGGGAACCGTCAGTCTGACCGTGGGAATTTCTCTTGCAGCCACAGGACTGCTGGCAGGGGTGGTGCAGCCTGGATCTCCTGCAGGGAGCAGGGAAGGGACGGACAACGAGCAGGTTCAGCTGCAGCAGCACGAGAAGGTGTCCCAGGAAGAGGCCAAAGAGCTCAGACAGGTAAAGTGGAGATGGATTTGCCAGGATTTGTTTCCCCTCCCCGTGTTTTCCTTAAAAACACACGTTTCCCTCATCCCAAAGTCGTTGTCCTAACAAAATATTCCTTCATAAATGTCCATGGGAATGTTTTAAAGCTCAGCCCAGCCTGTGGTAAAAACACCCTCTTCTTCCCTGAGAGACCTTAATCATCATAATTAATAATTATGATTGATATTTTCCAGGTATAAGCTGTAATAGATGTGGAAGTGAAGGAAAATGGGGTTGAAGGGGGAATTTCCTACCAGGAAAAGCAGATTTGAAAGGTGTGGAAGTTTGGGATTCACATGGGGCTCAGTAAAGTCCATATAGAGCCTTTGGGGTTTGAAACCCCTGAGAGCATCAAGGAAGTGACACCTGAGGAAGACATTTAATGTTTGGGAATGAGCAGGATGATGGATCATCACATTTACAAATAATTCAGAGAGTAAAGAGGGAAAAACAAGCATTGAAGACATCACATTTCATCCATTAATTAAAGATATGTGTTTATAATTGGTTTTTTCCTGAGCAATTCCCTCTCCTGAGGATTGGGATCTTTTATTCCTTGTAGTGAAAACACTTGTTTTTCACCAAAAAAACCAAGGATTTTGTTTCCTCTCCCTCATTGTTTGTGTAAGTCCAGCAGAACTTCCAGAGCTGGAGGAGAGGAATTTGTTGTGATCAAATAGCTGTTGCTCTTCCTCTCTCCTCCAGGGATAACAGCAGGTGTTTTCCAGCAGGAATTGTGGGGTGATGCTCAATTCCTTCCCTCAGAGCTGGAAGCCCTCGGTGTGATTTGGGTGCTCAGGGAAAGGACCTCAGCAGGAATTCCTGAGGGAACATTTATGTCAAACCCCACATTTTGTGGCACTGTGAGTGTTCCTCAACTGGGATATGGAGACAGAATCCTCCAAAATTCCAGTGGTGTCTCCCTGGGATTGACAGAATGTCCCCAGGAGTGGCAGGGGATGTGACAATCTTGGCCCCAGGGCTGTGCTTGGAGGGGCTGGATGTTCCCATTCCAGCCTTTTCCTCCTTCCAGAGCCTCCTTCCAGAGTGTTTATTTACCCTTTACGTGCCTTCAACTCAGGAAATCACAACTGTGAGCTCACAGAAAACTTGTTTGGTGGAGGAACTGCTCCTTCCAAGGGCTGGATCCCAAAATTTCCTCATGGGATGGCCTCGTTCCATGGCCCTGTGGGGGATCACAGACACCTGAGCTTAACACATGGAAAAGCAGGCCCTGGAGCTGTTTTTTTGGAAGGGGGGAGAACTGAGGAAATACTTTGGATTTCCTGCTGTGTAACTGGAATGATTGGGACCAAAATAAAAGGTGGGAATTAAGCCTGGGGAGCTGCTGAAGTCTTATTTTTTTTTTCCAGACCAGGAGTGTTCAGTCCTGGAAAATAAGTAAATAAAATCAGAATTCTCTGTCAATCCAAGAAAAAAAACCAAAAAACATGGGAGAAGTGTCCTCTAGGAAATCGTGTTGGGATTTAAAATCTTCCTGCTCCCTCCTGTCCCTGCCCATTCCAGCTGCAGCAGGAGAGGGAATTGCTTGGGAGTGACTTGAGTGGCTAAAAACGCAGGGAAAAACCAAAAATTCCCAGCTCTAGTTTAGGGAATCCAGCCCTGCTTTCCTGTCCCAGGGAAGGAACCTGCAGGAGTGTTTCATCTGGGACAGAAACAGGAGTTCTCTCACTTGGAGTTTTGGGAAGAGCAGAGGAAGGTGGATTAAGGTTGATCCAGAGTTTATTTTGTGTTTTTTGCTTTGGCAGCCAAATCCTGGCTCTGGTTATTCGTGTTTTTGGGATTTATGGGAAGGGCTGGGAGATGCTTTAGAAGATAAATCCCACTCCTGGGGGATTTCAGTCTGTGTCAAATTCCCTTCCCCCTTCCAGCCAGATGGGATATTCCTGCTTGTCCCAAACCAGCAGCAAATGATGGAATTCAGCCCCATGTGTGGATAAAGGAACAGCTTTTTGGGGGCTGATTCTGCAGATTCCAACAGGAAGTTTGCCAGTTATGGAAAAAAAAATAAATATAAATATGTGTGAAGTGTAGGGTTTTTATCCTATTTTACCTAAAGGTGTGTTTTGTTGGGACCCTGAAGTCCTGGAAGGTTCAGGAGCATCAGCTGAGGATGTAACTCCTGTCTCAGGCTGCTGCCAAAAGGATCCAGGGAAAGGAATTTGCACGGATTTTTCAGGTGGTGTTTGGATCTGCCCTTGGACTTGGTTGTTTGAACTGCTGGAAATTAATCCTGGAATATCCTGAGTTGGGATAGACCCACAGGGATCACCCAGTCCATCTCCTGGACACTCCAGCAATCCCACCCTGGCCCTGAGGGCGTTTTCCAAACACCCCTTGAGCTCTGGCTCAAGGTTTGGTTGCCCAGGTCTCACTTTTTTCCTTCTGATCCATCCACTGACACTTCTTTTTTTTGGTGAATTGGAGAAAAACAACATTTTCTGTCCTTTGAGTGGTCCCTGCCTGACCTTTGTGCCCCTTCAGCTCCCAACAGGCACACCTGGGGAAAAACCTCCTGCTCTGGGGTGCAGACCCACCAAGGAGGGAATAACAGCCAGGGAAAAATGATGTTTACACTGAATTTTACTCCTCATTTCCCCTCTGCCCCAAACAACCCCAATATTTCAGTTGTGAGTTCACTGTTGAGTTCGTTGTTTAACTCATTTTAATTCAGTTTATTAATTATTTGGTCACTGGGGCGTTGACCCCACCTGGAGTTCTGTGTCCAGCTCTGGGGCCTCCAGCACAGCAAGGACGTGGAGCTGCTGGAGAGAGTCCAGAGGGGCCATGGAGATGATCCAAGGGCTGGATGGAGCTCTGGAGCCAGGCTGGGACAGCTGGGGGGGTTCCCCTGGAGAAGAGAAGGATCCAGGGAGAGCTGAGAGCCCCTTGCAGGGCCTAAAGGGGCTCCAGGAGAGCTGGAGAGGGACTGGGGACAAGGCATGGAGGGACAGGATAAAGGGAATGGCTTCAAACTGAAAAAGTGGAGATTCAGGTGGGATATTGGGAAGGAATTGTTGTCTGGGAGGGTGGGGAGGGGCTGGGATGGATTTCCCAGAGAAGCTGTGGCTGCCCCTGGATCCCTGGAAGTGTCCAAGGCCAGGTTGGAGCAACCTGGGCTGGTGGGAGGTGTCCCTGCCCGTGGCAGGGGGTTGGAACGAGATGATCCTTAAGGTCCCTCCCAACCCAACCCGTTCCATAATAATTTAAAGCCCTGAAGGGGTTGGAAGGAGATGATCCTTAAGATCCCTTCCAACCCCACCCATCCCACGGCGATTTAAAGCCCCGAAGCTCCTCATTCCCACCGCTCCGTGCCTTATCCCGGCCATTCCCACTGGAAAGCTCCCAACTCTTTCCCTCTGGCAGATCCTGAAGAAGCTGAAGGGCCTTGCCCTGGAGACTGAGGCTGAGCTGGAGAGGCAGGACGAGGCCCTGGATTCCATCAGCAGCTCCGTGGACAGGGCCACGCTGACCATCGACAAGCAGAACCGCCGCATGAAGAGGCTCACGTAGCCCTGGGAATGGGAGTGGGAACGGGAATGGGAGCAGCAGGGAGCTGGATTCACCCCCCCACTGTTCCTCCACGGACACTTGGGCTGCCCTGGGAGGTGTTTGGGACGTCCTCACTGGAATTCTGGGCTGCTGGTGTGGAGTTCCTGAGGGTCTGGAGTTCCTGAGGGTCTGGAGTTCCTGAGAGTTTGCCTTTCCTGAGGGTTTGCCTTTCCTGAGGGTCTGGGAAGTGTTTCCAGGTGTTTTAGGATGAAAAAAAAAGGTGAAAACTTGTAAATAAAACCCCCGAGAGTGGATCCTCCACTGCAGCAAAGGTGTAAATACCACTGGATGTGACCAGACCTGACTCATCTTGGATGTGCTTTTTTTTATTTATTTTGCTGCTTCTGAGGGTGGTTTTTGTTGGTTTTTTTTGGAGGGGGTATTTTTTAGTGAAAGGAGCTGCTTTTGACACTTGATTGAAATTATTACAACCAATTAATTCCCTCCCAAGGTCTTTTGAAACACTTAATATCTGAATTAAAGCCCAAATACCCAACTGGAGCTCACTGGGGCTCTTTTTTGGGGGGTTAATGCTCAGGTGAGCAAATGATGGGGATAAAACCTCAGGTTCCCTCAGCAAACAGCTTTAATTCTGCTTTTAATGCACCCAGAAATTAATTTATAAGGGTGCTGAAGACTTTGGGGGAACATTTGATGGTCCTGCTACATTATTATTTACTTTTCTTTATTTATTTATTTGCACTAAGTGGTGATGAAACATTTCAGGAGTTCTCATTGTTTCAACTTTTATTCCTAAAATCAAAGGGACAAATGACAAAGTGGTGTCTGTTGGAGTTTCCAGGTGGGAATGTAGGACAGGACAGACCTTTTTACCCCCTCCTAAATCATATACTTATAGGAGAGATTCCAGGTAATCCATGGAAAACTCCCATTTCATCAATTCCCACTTGATTTCCCCTCTTTACCAGTTATTTAATTCAAAGTATTTGTTGCAATATATCCTTTTTTTTTTTTTAATAAAGTGTTTTTATTTTTTTAAATTAAATTATTCCGGGGTTGCTTTAAATCCAACACTTTCAGTGCAATATTTATAACTTCAAACTGTCTCTTGCACCTTCATTTTCCTTTTTTTTTTTTTTTTTTTCCAGCCTGAACCTGAAAGATAAATCCAGGAAATCCCAGAGAGGATTTCCAGGAGGTTTTCCAGAGGTTTTCCAGCTTTTACTCTCCCTTGGTTTGTATCCCTCCAGTGATTTTCCAGTCCTGGTTGTTCCTGGCATGCACTTTGATGCTGAATGTGGTGATTCTTCCTCTATAAATAAGCGATTTACTCTGAATTAAATTCATGTTTGGGGTGTTCCTGTTGTTTCCTCCCCCCAAATCACTGTTGTTTTACTGGGAAACCGAGACAAGGTTTAGACAAGGAATTATTCCCTGGATTATTCCCTGGATTTCTGAGTGTGTTTCGTGTGGGAACTGACCCTGGTGCTGCCTGGGGTGGAACCTCTGAGCTGAATTTTTCCCATCAGCATTCCCAAAATTCCATATTCCTTATTTCAGCCTTTAATTTTGCCTTTTTTTTGGTGCCATATTTTGAATTGTTGTGGTTTCAGCACCAGCTGAGTTCCATCTCCCTGAGCATCCCGTGGGTTGTTGTTATTCCAGGGTGTCCAAACCCATGGAATATTCCTGGTGGGAAGTGCCCCATCCCAGAGCTGTACATTTGCTGAATTCCATGTTCCACCTGTAATTCCTGCCCATTAAATCTCTTGGAAATCTTGATTTTGTCTCTTTGTGTTCCCTTGGCTGAGAAATAGCAGGAAAAAAAAAACTCTTGTGGGATGGGATTTCCTGGAGCATTTCCTGAAGGATTGGGATTTCCTGGAGCATTTCCTGTAGGATTGGGATTTAGGATGGGCTTGGTTTTAGTTTAAAAAGAGGGAAAATAATAGCAGGGGGAATATTCTCCAGGTGAATATTTATTGGATGGTGAAATGGGGGAATGGCAGCACAGGGAGGAGGCTCAATCCTGGGAATTGTGGCTCTGGAGCTGCTCCAGCTCTTGGAGAAGGGATTGGGAATTCCTTGGATGTGTTGTGGCCTCTTGGGACAAAAATATAAAGATTAAAATTTAATTCTGTAAAAATCCATCCCTGATATTCCCAAAAAATGTTCTGAGCCTGCTAAATTCTCTTCTCCCTTAGTTTTGCAAAAACATGGAAAGAGGGGCTTTGTCTTTAGGGGAAATAAGGGGGAAAAAAGTGAATAAAAGAGATTCCAACCCTAAAAATAAAGAGATTTTCCTTGGAAAATTCAGCTCCTGCAAAGCAGGCCTGGATTGGCCTGGATCGTGGAAGGGGGGTTATGATCCAGGGGGGTTTCCTGGAGGTGCTGATGAGCCTGAAATCCCTGGAGTTTAAAATCTCTTCCTTCATAGGAATTTGGGCGTCTCCTGTGGGATAAAATGCTGAGAGAGGTGGTTGGAAGGAGCTTTTTTTTTGGGGGGAAGTTAATGAGTTTCTCCAAAGCCTCAGGATAGTTTTGTATTCCCAGCTGGAAGTGGGGTTTGGAGCCTCCTGTGGGTGCAAAGATACATTTCTTTTATAAGGTTTCATTCCTAAAACTAGAAATTAAATTACAACCATTAATTATATAATTATTATTAATATTATATGTTATTTTATTAAGATATATTACATATTATATATTACATATAATAATATTAATTATACTTAATAATATTAATTATACATAATAATATTAATTATACAATTGTAACTGTTAGTTCTATATTAATAATATCTAATTATCAATTATTAAATTCTAATTAAAGCCAAATTAATGCTCCTTGAATGAAAGCACGAAACAGATCAGCTCCCTCTACAAACTGCTCTGGAAACAATCTTTAATCTGAGAAGAGATTTTAAATGTCTGTAACAGAATAAGATAGTTTAAAATTACGAGGAGCAGGAGAGTTTTATACCATCCAGCTGTCCAGGTTTTAATTAATTACTGTGCTCTCAAATCAGGCAGTTTTACCCCACTTCACACTTCATTTTTCCCTTCAAACTCCAGCTCCCAAGTTCTGGTGACCAAGTGCAAATCTGATTTTTCCTTTAATTGTTGGGATTGCAGAGGGGTTTGGGCTTCACATCCACACTCTAAATTATCCTCCCCACAGCAATAGATATAATTTTATATTAAGAATGATCTATTTTTAGATCCCCAGGGTTATCAAAACCCACCTTCATCTCTTTCCCATCAGATTTTCCCTCCCCACAGCAGCTGAGTTGCCCCAATAAGTGATTTTTTTTAGGCTGTGGCTGCTCAGGAAATGAAAATATTCCATCATTCTCCCCATTCACCGGGAATGTGGGCGGGATCAGCATTCCCAGGAGCCTCCTGGATCCTGGAACAGCGTCCCATGGAAAGGCATTTCATGGAGTTTTGTTGGATGGGACTCTCTGCCCGTGGCAGGTGGAAGGAATTTACACTCCACTGGCAGGAGCAGCTCCAGTCCCCGGGATGAGGGAAGGTGTTTCCAGCTCACCTTTGGAATGTTGTGTCCCTGGGATTCCCCTCGCTTTCCCAGCAATGGGATTTGGATTTTAGCTCCTGAGATGAAGTCGTGCTGCTCTCCAGGGGTGGGAGGGAAAGATTCCCGGGTCTGTTCCATGGCAAAGTGGGAAGCAGAAGGTGAAATCATGGGATGGTTTGGGTTGGAAAAGACCTCTCAGATCCTGGAATCCAACCATGACCCAGCACTGCTGGGGAAATGCGGGCTGGGGGTGGTTCAGCCTGGCTTGGTGAGACCTCCATCCCCAGGGGGATTCATTCCTGCTCCTCATCAGTGTTCACACTCTCTCTCCATGAGCCTGGATCACAGAATCATGGAATCAACTGGGCTGGAAAAGCCCTCTGGGATCATCCAGTCCAACCCTCGCTCCAACCCTAGCCCATGGCACTGATGCCACATCCAGCCTGTCCTTAAACACCTCCAGGGATGGGGAATCCACTCCCTGCCTGGGCAGCCCATTCCAATGGCTGAGCACTCTCCATGGAAAGGATTGAGGTCTCCCCTGAGCCTCCTCCTGTCCAGGCTGAGCCCCCCCAGCTCCCTCAGCCTCTCCTCATGGGAATTGTGCTCCAGTCCCTCGGGGTTGTTGCAGGGTCGGTGGGGGAGCTGAGCAGCTCCAGGGGACAATTCCACCTGCCCTGCAGAGGAGGAGCTGCCCCCTGGTCACATCTGTCCCTGTCCCTGTCCCTTGGTGACAGAAGAGCAGAGGGGGCTACAGCTCAAAACCTGAGGTGAGACAAACCCTGAGCATCTAAAGACGTGGAGCTGTTGGAACAATTCCAGAGGAGGCCCCGGAGCTGCTGCCAGGGCTGGAGCCCTCTGCTCTGGAGCCAGGCTGGGACAGCTGGGGGGGTTCCCCTGGAGAAGGGAAGGATCCAGGGAGACCTGAGAGCCCCTTGCAGGGCCTAAAGGGGCTCCAGGAGAGCTGGAGCTGGCACAGGTTGCCCAGAGAAGCTGTGGCTGCCCCTGGATCCCTGGGAGTGTCCAAGGCCAGGTTGGAGCAACCTGGGACAGTGGGAGGTGTCCCTGCCCGTGGAACTGGATGATTTTTCAGTTCCCTCCCAACCAAACCATTCTGGGGTTCTAAATGATGCAAGCCAGGCCTGTGAGCTGAAGCAGAGCAGCTCAACATCCCTGCACAGGATAAATGTGGCAACATTCCCAAAGGGATGCAAATCTATCAAAGAAAGCCCAACTCACTCAGTGTTTCCAAGGCTTGGCCTCCAAGTCAAACAAGAACTCAGAATCCTGAAAAAAAACCATTATTTGAGGCTGCTGTCACCCCTCAGACTGACTCCCAGCTGCCACTGCAAACTCCATATGTATTTACACCCACTTGGAAATTTCTCACTCTTATTAAAAAGAGTAAAATTCAGTGGGTTTGGTGAAATATTAAACCCACATCCACTGGGTTGGAGCTCAGTGTTTGCACTGGCCAAAAAAAAATCACTTCTGGGGCCTTCAGTGAATCCAGCAAAGCTGCAAAGGATTTGTGTCCACTGGGATTGAGAGGAATAATCAAGGGAATAGAGGAATTCACAGGAAGAGTGATGGGGAATTCCACAGGACGCTGATTAGTCAGTTATTTCAGGGTTAATTAACACACATCCATTCCATGAGTGGATTTTGTTCTCTCCTGGCAGTCAAATCCATGACCTGAAATTAAAATCATGGAATGTGATGGAGTGATAGGAAAAGGGGGAATGGCTTCAAACTGAAAAACTGGAGATTAAGGTGGGATATTGGGAAGGAATTGTTTGCTGGGAGGGTGGGGAGGGACTGGAATGGAATTCCCAGAGAAGCTGTGGCTGCCCCTGGATCCCTGGAAGTGTCCAAGGCCAGGTTGGAGCAACCTGGGCTGGTGGAAGGTGTCCCTGCCCATGGCAGGGGGTGGAATGAGATGACCTTTAAGGTCCCTTCCAACCCAAACCATTCCATGATTCCAAGATCTCCAGGAGCAGCTGAGTGATGCCCGTAGATCATCTTGCACAAGAGAACATCTACAACCCAAATAAATCCACTTTTCCAGTCCTACCTCCCCATCCCTCTGCTCTGCCCAAATCCAGCCACAATTTTTACCTCCTCCTTTTTTTTTTTCTTTTAATTTCTTTTTTTTTTTATTTAATAATTTAGCCCAAGGTACTTCTCTGTAAATTCAAACAGTGGTTTTTTTTTTCCCTATGATTTCCAGTTCTTTATAAAGAGATGAAAAAAAACCACCTTCCAACAGCGACCAAAGCCAAGGAGAAATGGGGGGAAAAAAAAAATCCTTTCTCCAGGGGTGTTTTTGATTAGCTCAGGTTCTCCCTGCCCTTTGTTTTTCTGACAAGGTGCAAAACGCTGCATTTCAGAGGCTTTGCACCTCTTCCTCCCGCTTTCCCCCCTCCCCTTTCCCTTCATCCCGCTGCCCCCTCCGCTTGGAATCCTTTCCCTCCTGGTCCGGGATAACACCCCGCGGGCTTTCTGTCACAAAACACAAACCCCTCGCTCCGAAAGGAGCCCGAGCTGCGAGAGAGGAGCCAAAAGCAACTGGAAATGAAGCTGGCAAAGCGTGAATTGAGCAGTGTGTGGAAAACCCTGAGGACACGGGGGATGCTTGGCACCGGGTGGGACTGCGGGATTTTCACTCTCCGGGTCACAACGGGCTGTGGCTCCTTCCCCAGACTGTTCCTGCTCCTTCTGGCTCGTGTTTTCTGCACTTGACTCATCCCTGGGCAGCGTTTTCCCACCTCGGGGTGGGTGGAAAGGCTTTGGAGAGGATGTGGGGAGGGGGATTAGGGAAGGAGGAGATCCTGAATCCAGGACTCTCTGGGCTCCTTTTGCAGTCCCTGGTGAAGGACAGGTTGTTGCTGTGGCAGGAACTGAGCTGGAGTGATCCCTGAGGAGTCTGGCACTTCATGTTGGGTTTTATTCCCACATTATTCCAGCTGGGACAGCGATGAATCCCTCAGAACCCCCAGGACACGGGGATTTTGGGGATTCCCTCGGGGAATTTCTGCCCAGGTCAGAGCAGGTGTCTCAGCCTGGTGTGGGGCTCTGCAAAGTCCAACATCTACAGGGGCAACCAAGAGGAGCTGGGAGGTGCCAGAGGGTGATTCAGCTCATCTTAAAAGAAGTTTTTAGCAGTGATTTTTCCTTGGGACAGTCAGGATCTCTGTGCTCCAGGGAAGGCTGAGGCCATCAGTGGGCCTGATCCTGGATAA